TGGGAAAGACAAATCCCATCACCACCAAGGGAGGGTGGCTGGGACCTGAGGGTGGAGCTGAGCAGGAAGAGGAGAAGCAGCAGAAGAGACTGAGGTAGGAAGCAGGATGGAGCCAGGAGACCTGGAGGAGGAGCATGGAGCCTAGAGACATGTGAAGAAACTGCACTTGTCTTTTGGTCGTGGACTGGGTGACACAGATGTGGGTGAGACCCATGGGGAGGTGACCATGGCAACTTTTATCTTGATGTTGATTTTGCTCTTTTCCTTCCGGGCTTGTCCGGTTGTTTGTGACCCTTTTCTGTGGGTCCCCACTGGAAGATGCTTTAGACTTGTGGCAGGCCTTGGGGCCTTGCTCTGGGCCAATCCCATTTGGATGGACTTTTACCCACGAGGGGATGGGTAAATTTGGGTGCTTGATTTAGAAACTAGATTCTTTGCCCTACCTGTATTGTTTCCTAGTTTTATTAAAGTTCCTTCTCATTAAAGTCTCCTATGTTTTGTGGTTTTTTTTTTTTTAAACATTTATTTATTTATTTATTTATACATGCACTGGGTACAGTCAGAAGCGCGGGAGGGTGAGAGAATTCACCAGAGCCAGAGCAGGGAGCAGAGCAGGCAGAAGGACTGAAGTACACTGCTGAGGGGAGCAGCGGGCGGCAGGTGAGGTCTGCGCACCATGTGGGACCCTCCTCCCGTGGCCGGGGAGCAGCCGGGGATCGAACCGTCGCTGCAGAGGCTGCGGGCAGCTTCGCAACCCAGCGCTCAACCACTGCGCCACTGGAGAGGCCCACCTATGTTTTGTGTTGATGCGGCGGATGGCAGAACCCATTTAGAATAGGCAGGTTTGCGGGGTTTGGGCTGCCCCTCTCCCTGTCCTATAACAAAAGCTTGCTGTGAATAAAGTTTTAGGAGGGTAATATATGCAACCGATGTATGTGTATTTCTTTCCAGATGGAGGTGGTTTGTAGTCACTGGGATGGGAAAGCATTCTATAACCTTAACATCTAACTGAGAAAAAAAAAAATAAATAAAAGCAGGGCCTCCCTGGTGGCGCAAGGGGTTGAGAAGCAGCCTGTGAAGCTGTCTGCAGCCTCTGCAGCATGGAGTTCGATCTCTGCCAGGGAGCAGCCCACATGGCACAGCAGACCTCTCCTGACTCGCCTGCTGCTCCCCTGAGCTGTGTACTTCGGTCAATCTGCCTGTTCTGTTCCCCACTCTGTCTCTGGTGAATCCTCTCACCCCCTCCCCCTCCACCTTTGGCCTGTACCCCAGCTCCTGTATGCATAAATAAATAAATCTTTTAAAAAAAAAAAGTGTGCCAGATAGGGTCTTTGAAGGACCCAGTATATTACTAGGGGAGGAGTTAGGTCATGCAAGTGAGATCATCTTCTACAACTGCAAACAAGTTAGGAAGCCTTGCTCAATGTCAAGGACCATGTTTTGAATTTGTGTGTGTTTAAGATCACACACAATGCTTCATCAGACATTTTCCCTTTTGTTTTTTAACCCACTCCTCCAAGTTCTGCTATTACGTAAATACTGCTCCCAAACCTCCCCCTCCTCTGCTGATGGGTCAAGCTGCCTTCCATCATCATCCCCAAGAACAGGGGGGCGGGCCAGGGCAGGGCGGGGAGGAGACTGTGGGCTCTAGGGTTGTGAGCAGGCAGGAACAGATTCAGAAGAGGAAAACTTAGCAGGTACTGCTGGTGAAAGCTGGCCATTTCTCTGAGTCCAGAGCCCAGTCAAGAAACCTGCCCCTGCTGAGGGCGGGTCAGTGAAAAGCAGCTTTCACTGGAGATCCCACCTCTGCCCCCACTTTCTGCTCTGCTGAATTGTACCAGTTATTTCTCAAAGGCAGGAATTCCTGCCCTGCAGAAAGGAAAACAGTTCTTCCTTTAAAAAAAAAAAAAAGTTCCAGGGGCCTCCCTAGTGGCAGAAGGGCTTAAGCACCACACTATGAAGCAACCTGCAGCCTCTGCAGCACGAGTTTGATCCCCTGCCGGCCAGGGAGAATCCCACATGGCGCAGCAGACCTCTCCTGCCTCGCCCGCTGCTCCCCTCAGCAGTGTATTTCATCAGTCTGCCTGTTCTGCTCCCTACTTTCTCTGGTGAATCCTCTCACCCCCTGCACCTCTGGCCTGTACCCCAGTTCTTGTATGCGTAAAAATAAATAAAATTTTTTAAAAAGTCTCAGCTTGCTCATTAACATGTGATGCCAGTGTGTGCGGTCACCGTGATCTCAGCTGGTGCTGCTGCTGCTTTTCACCCTGATAATCACCACAGAGTTCTTGTCTCCTGAAGCCGTAAAAAGGAATTCACAGACTTTTCAGACAAGTAAGCAGAGAGAAGCAAACTTTGTCTTGGAGAGGAAAGAAAGGTTCATTTAGGAAGAAACGACAAAGAGCATAGACTCCCAGCTACAAAGCACTTGGGAGGGGCAAAGAAGTCTTATGGAGCCTTTCTTCGGGAATATATACTTTCTTTCCCTCATTATTCTAAAGTTCCTTCAGTCTCTCTGTGATTGGCTAGTTCTCGGTGGTCTCAATCTGTTACTGTACTTAGGATCTTCCTACATCACATCCCTTACCTTTTTATACTTTTTTTTTTTTAATAGAGGCATGTTCTATTTATTTATTTATTTTATTTGTTTGTTTGTTTATACATGCGCTGGGTACAGTGAGAAGCGCGGGAGGGTGAGAGAATTCACCAGAGCCAGAGCGGGGAGCAGAGCAGGCAGAAGGACCGAAGTACACTGCTGAGGGGAGCAGCGGGTGGCAGGAGAGGTCTGCTCTCCATGTGGGACCCTCCTCCGGTGGCCGGGGAGCAGCCGGGGAGCAGCCGGGGATCGAACCGGTGCCACAGAGGCTGCGGGCAGCTTCGCAACCCAGCGCTCAACCGCTGCGCCACCGGGGAGGCCCACATCCCTTACCTTTTATTGTCCTTGATCCAGATTGTCCTGTTGCCCTTGTTGCCCCTAGTCCTGGGGTGCTTGACTAGCTCCCTTCGGAATTTGTTGCTCTTATCTCTGGGTCTTTCCTCATTCCTCTTGTTGTCCTTACCTCTGGAGCTTCTTCAACTCTCCTGAAGTCCACACCCACACTGTCCCTAAAGCTATCTGATCATCCTAACTTGCCCTATGACGCAATTGCACAAAGAAAACAAGCCTTGCAGCTTAGAACACGGGGTTGTAGTCTTCAGCGATCACAAGAAATAATTCTTTTGTTTTGTCAACAGAAAGAATTCTTTTGTTTTGAATATAGAAGACTTGCTTAATCCTCTGGGGTGGGGGGCAGGGAAGAGCCCACAGAAATGAAGCCTTTAAAAAGCAGCAACCTGTTCCCTAAATCACTGTTTCCCCGTTGGCTTAGAATTTTCTGGGTGAAGTATGAGGGGTGGGAGGTGCCATGGAGGTGGAATAGGGTGTAGCCCAGAGGTTTGGGATTGAAACCCACAAGACACAGTGGAGAACAGAACCCAGGACCATGCCAAAAGAAGCCCCCAAAACTAGAGGACCTTACTGGCAAGAGAGTGAGGGTCCTGAGGGTCTATTTATACTCCAGGCAGCATTGCCTGGTTAGGGTGGCTAGTCTTGGGTGTGTGCTGCCCATGGTCTGAATTAGCATAACAGATAATTAGCTTAATGTCCAAGTTCCCAGGGGAGTCCCACCCACTTCCTTTATCCATTCAAGCCTCCCAAACTTGCCTGCTTGGCAAGGAATGGGGGCTTTGTTTTTAAATTTAGTAATGATACTACCACAGGAAGTAGTGAAGAATGCCATTATAAAAAGTTTGGGCAGGGGCACTGAAGGTGTATATTTCCTTTTTCAAAAGGAGTTCATACTTTTCCATGAATCAGACAGGAATAATGGGAAATTGGGAAGCCAAAAAGAAGGCACTTCACAGAGCCCAGATAAGAGACAAAACCAACCACAATCTTAATCATCCACGTACATAACTTTAAATGTTCTAGTAATCCTCTTATAAAAGTAAACAGGAAACGTTACTTTTAATATATTTCACCTAGTCCAATCTATCCACTTCAATACAGTACATGTCAATTCCTGTCCTTGATTTTCAGTATTTAAAGGGAAACATGGGTCTGTCAAAAGATTAGTGTTTATTGGAAAAATAGTCCACGCAGCTTCCGTTTTTTAAATATAAATTAATGAAAATAAAGGGCCTCCCTGGTGGCGCAAGGGGTTAAGCACCACACTGTGAAGCAATCCGCAGCCTCTGCAGCACGAGTTCAATTCCCTGCCGGCCAAAGAGAAACCCACACGGCAGAGCAGACCTCTCCTGACTCGCCCCCTGCTCCCCTCAGCAGTGTATTTCAGTAGATCTGCCTGTTCTGTTCCCCACTCTGTCTCTGGTGAATCCTCTCACCCCCCGCATCTCTGGCCTGTACCCCAGCACTTGTATGCATAAATAAATTAAAAATGAATGAATGAATGAAAATAAAATAAACATCTCAGCTCTTCAGTCACACTAGCCACATTTCAAGTGCTTGAAAGGCACCGAGGCCACTGGCTACCCTATTAGGCAGAGCAAGCCTCGACTGTAAATAAGGGGTCTGCACTGGAGCCGGCTGGGGAAACCGGCCCGAGGGTTCGGGTTCGGGGAGACCGCGCGCGGGCCCTGCAGGTCCGGACGCGCGCGCCAGGTGGCGCTAAAGAGCGCGCTCCCGGCGGCGCCGGGCCGCCAACCCGGAAGCTGACCGCGCCGCTCCACGCAGTTCCTCCGGCGTCTCCACCCCCGGGCGCGCCCGGGCAAATCCCGGGTGCCGAGGCGGCCGCGCGGCTGAATGGGCCAGACATGAGCCGCGGCGTCCGCCGAGCGAGCGAAGCGCGGCGAGCGGCTCCCAGCGGCACGAGGCGCAGCCCCGGCGCGCGCAGGGGCCCCCCGGGACGGGCGCGGGCGGCGGGCAGCCGCTGCCGTAGAGCGCGCGGCCCCCCGGTCGCCCGCGGGGGTGCCCGGGCCGAGCCTGCCCCCCGCGACGGCCCCCGAGCCGGCGCCCTCGCGGGTGTCCGCGCCGATGATCCAGAAGTCGCGCCCGGCGCTGCTGCAGCCCCAGGATGTCGGGGACAGGGTGGAGACGCTCGTGGTGAGCCCCGGGAGGGCGGCGGGGCGTCCAGGCGCCGGCTCGGGAGGGCGTGGGGGCTGTGGAGGGGCCCCCTTTCCGCGCCGGGATGCGCCGCGGAGTCGGCCGAGGGCGTGGGCGAGCTGGGGTGTGGCGGGGGCGCCGGGGGGGGCCGGCGGGCCTCGCCGCCGCCGCGGTGTCCGGGGGCCGGCGGGGTGCCCGGGCCGGGGGTGCCGGGGGGCGGGGGAGCGCGCTGCGAGCGGCGCGCCTGGCGGGACAGGGGCGGGAAGACGCGGGGCGCACCCTGGGCCGGGCGGGCCCGGGTTGGCTGCCGCGGCCGGGCCGCCGGGCCGCCATTGGTGGAGGCGGAGGCGGGTCGAGGGCGTGTCCGGGGGCGAGTCCCGGGGGCCGGCGTGCGGGGGTGGAGGCGTCGAGGCCGGGCTTTGGGGCGTGGGGGCGGTGGCTGTTTTTCCCCCAAGTTCAAGGTTCGTGTTCTTCGCACGCTGGGGTGAGAGGGTGGGGACTGGGGAGCTGCGCATTCCCTTTTTTAAATTCTTGCAAGGGCCTCCCTGGTGGCTCAGGGGGTTGAGCACCGCACTGTGACGCAAACCGCAGCCTCTGCAGCACGAGTTCGATCCCCGGCCGGCCAGAGAACAACCCACATGGCGCAGCAGACCTCTCCTGACTCGCCCGCTGCTCCCTCAGCAGTGTATTTCAGTCAGTCTGCCTGATCTGCTCCCCACTCTGTCTCTGGTGAATCCTCTCACCTCCCCCACATCTCTGGCCTGTACCCCAGCGCTTGCATGCATAAATAAATAAATCTTAAAAAGAAATTCTTAGAAAAGGCAGTGGAGGTTCTACATTTACATCTTGAAAAGGATGCCTACCTGTTTGTCTTTCTGGGCTCTTAGGTCTCGAGATCTGAATTGGACTTAGTATTTTTATTTTTGAGGGGGAGAAGAAGTTCCTTGTGGAACTAGTTTACTAATTATTTAAGTGCTGCCGGTTGCCAATGTGTGTCTGTGTGTTGGGTGTTGTGTACTCCCCTCCCCCCATCTCCTTGAAAACTGGATGATTCATTTTATGACCTTGAATAATAATTTGGTGCTTTTTATTTTATTTTTTTTTAAGATTTATTATTTATTTATACAATAGCTGGGATACAGGTCAGAGACATGGGAGGGTGAGAGGATTCACCAGAGTCAGAATGGAAAGCAGAACAGGCAGGCAGAAAGCACTGCTGAGGGTAGCAGCAGGTAAGACAGGAGAGGTCTGCCATGCCATGTGGGTATCTCCCTGGCCGGATGGGAATCGAACCTGCGCTGCAGAGGCTGTGGACAGCTTCACAGCGCTGCGCTCAACCGGCTGCACCACCTAGGAGGCCCTAATTTGGTGCTTTTTAAAGAAAAAAACTTAGATGTGGTCTCAAACGATGTGTTTTGAGAATTGACAGTACCTTAAGACTAATCAAAATGAGAAGTATACTTTTTTTTAAAGAAATTTTATTACCGGTGATGTTTTAACTATTAGAGGTTAAGCTGGAAAATTACAAAGTTAAAAATGTTATGAGCTCTCTTCATCTCCTCTACAAATATTTATTGAGTGATACATGTCCAAGTACTGTGCTATGAAAATAGAGCAGATAGCTCCTGCAATGGGGGAGGATGTGGATGTGTGAAGAACAGCAGACTCAAAACAAGCTCCACACAGTACTAGGGGCACATTGGGCCTACAGTGCCTAGCAGAACCCAGAAGCCGTAACTACAAGGCTTCCCTGCAGCCTTGCTGGAGCAGAGGTCTGGAAGGAGCAGAGAGAAATCACCCTGTCTCAGCCAGGAAGGGACATGTGGGACCCACAGGACTTTGTCCTGGGGAATTCTGATCAAGGGAAAGCCAGTCATTTCCACCGGCCATATCCTGTGTGGAGATAACCAAGAAATCATGGAATTAAAATTGATAAAGGGAAATTACAAAATGGAGTAAGGGGCTCCCTAGGAGACTAGAACTTGAGTGCTTCTACAACACCTGACCACTTGGTAATTTGGGATTTACGACCACATACATCAGCCTCAGTAAACCTGTATCCTGACACCTGGAATCTGGGGAGTCTGGAGGGACAATGCAAGCATCAGAGATACTGACAGATCTATAAACACTCAACTCTCAGGCTCACCGAGGACAATCTGTTCTACACTGGTATTCAGGCATCGCTATCCTTTGCTTTTTTTTTTTTTTTTTTCTTTTCAAAGAAATTAGTTTACCAGTAGGAAGCAGCTCCACCTATAAAAGCTTTGTACTTTTTCTTCACATTGGCATTCTCACAGGGCCTTGTCTGAGTGGTGTTTTCCAGACTGCAGTCCCCTGAAGATGCCAAATAACAGCTTTGTTCTCACTTGCAGCTAAAGGTCAGGCTCATTACTGAACTATGGTTTAACACCTGCTAGGCGATCCTTTCAATCTTCACAGTTGAGCCCCTCCTGTGGCCAAGCTCTGGAGGAAGCACCAGGAACAGGACAGCCAGGCCTGGTGGCCTCCCATACCCAGACCCTCAATCACAGGGAGATGGGTTCCTGTGTTGTGGAAGCACTAAAGAGGAGCCCTGAGCCTGGAGTGGGGTGTATGAGAGCAAAGTTTGCTACTCCTAAATTTGTCTTTTTTGGCATAAGGATGGACTGGTTATTTTTTAAGAAATAGCAGATAAAAAGAAATTACAGAGAAAGGAAAAGCTCTGAAAACCAGATAGAAGTCACACTTTTGTAAGAGACATGTATATATTTGTATGTATAAAGGAAAATCTCCATTTGTAAGGCTATCGCCCTCTAAAGGGGGCAGGATGTTGTCAATGACCAAACTACCCTATCTTGTTTACTGTGCCTTTCTGGGTAACCTCCCTTAACTTGATTTTCTCTCTCGCCAACATCCCGTGTCTTTAGCTGAAGGTATTTAAGGAGGTGGCATATGTCATTTCAGCAAGCTGCTCAGTTTCCCTGGGTCTCTACCATGTGCATAGGAGGTATGCATATTATTAAACTTTTGTTTATTTTTCTCCTGCTAATCTGTCCTTTACTACAGGAGTGTCTCCATGACGAACTAGGGTACAGGGAACATTTTTCCTCCCCTGCAGGGACTTTCTGAGAATAGGGGTGGTCTAAGCACATCCTTCCCCTCCCCCTCATGATGAATTAAATATGGGAGGAGCCAAGGCAAAATTTTCCATAGTAAAGGGAATAGCTGCAGGTTGTGTAAGAGGGAGGGTGCTAAGAGCACAGGTCCAAAGGTAAGAAGGGACCACATGATTCGTGAAAGACCTTGGAAGCAGTTTGGACCTTATCCTGAGAGAGGAACATGGAAAAATTAGGGATATTGTTTTGTCTTTTAATTTTATTTCAATCGTATTAATGGCATTTAGGCAAACTGTGGTTTCTAATACATGTATCAGTGGTTATATTTATATCCCTTTTTTTTTTTTTCCAATTGGTAACTTCAAATTGTATAAAACACCAGAGCTGTCATGGAGGGGTTTGGTATTTGGAAGCGAGGTGTTCACATTTGCAGTTTTTAAAGACGATTGTAAGCTGCTGGGTAGAGAGGGGGCTAGAGGATGCAAAGAAACGAGGTGAGAAGTGGATGAAAAGGGGTAGCGGTCACCAAGGCCAGCGGTGGTGGGTGTGAATATATTGTAAGATGTTCTGAGACACCCCCTCCCTGGTCTAACAGACTGGAGAGTAAATAAAGACTTCTGCTGGACTGGAAGTCTGAAGCAGCTATGCAAAATCCTACCCCTCAGAGTCAAATCAGCCTTTTCAACCCTCACTTATCACCAAGGAGTTGAATAAAGAGTTAAACAGGGACTCCCCAGTGGCATAGCGGGTTGAGTGCAACACTGTGAAGCTGTTCTCAGCCTCTGGCAGCTCAGGTTTGATCCCTGCCGGCATGGGCATGGCGCGCAGCAGACCTCTCCTGTCTCGCCCACTGCTCCCCTCAGCAGTGTATTTCTATCGTCTGCCTGTTCTGCTTCCTGCTCTGTCTCTGGTGAATCCTCTCACCCTCCCGCACCTCTGGCCTGTACCCCAGCTCTTGTATAAAAATAAATAAATCTTAAAAAAAAAAAGAGTTAAACAATGGGTACTTAGCCTTTGCATCTCCACAGTTCATTCTCAGAAAAGAAGAGATTAAAACCCAGTATTTGCCTGCCTTCAAAGACAAAATGGGATCAGAAGTCTCCCCACTAAAAAAAATAATTACATTTTGATGTCAATAATTACGATTACATTTTGACTCATCGTTCCAACTTGTATGAACTAAATTCAAACTTGTGGTTGGAACAGTTCCCAAAGGGTAAAATCTATTGAACTATTTCCCTGGTTGAAATCCTCACTTTGATTATCTAATAAACTTTGTCTCTCATTGAGACTTTATTCTAGGTAGCACAGGGCTTTGAGCTAGGCTGGACAGAGCAGGTGACTCTGAGAGCTGTGTCAGAGGAGGATGTGCAAGCGCTGAGAGGCCCAGTTGAGGGTGGTGCCCAGGTTACTGCTGCGCAGCTTGATGGGGAGGGGGCAGGGCATTCACTGGTGTAGTGCATCCTGGAGAGGAAACAGATGGGGGGCGGGCAGGGAGAGAGCCAGTTTCTGTTTGGAAATGTCTGGGCGCCTGTGGACATCTGAGTAAGTGGATTATGGGTCTGAAGCTCTGGAGAGAGGGTCTAAGCTTGGACAGAATTAAAGGTGGGGAAGCCCAAAGTGTGGGAGGAAAACCAGGACAGCATTAATCTCTGAGGTCAGAGGAAAACAGCATTTCAAGGAGCTAGTTTTGGTTAGGGGTGGAGCTCTGCTGAAGGCCTGAGAAGTGCCCTTGACTTTCACTTAAGTCTTGGGATATGGTGAAGAGAGCATGAACTTTGAGTCCCAGCCAATGGCTTCAGACCATGTGATTTAGGACACATTTGTAACATCTGAGGCCTAGTTTCATCTGCAAAACTGGTTTAAATACAAGAGTATTGTGAGATTTGGAGATGGTGTGTATATTTGGATGCCTCATCTTGCACTCCTCTGGAAGCACGTTGGAGGCTGGAGCCAAGGAGGCAGGCACTAGGATAGGTGGTGGGGGCAGGCCCTGGGAAGAATCAGGGGTCACCATAGGACTTGGTCACGAAGCAGCAGGTTGAAAGTCTTGTGTATTTCCCAAATTCCCTACCAGGATATTTCAGCGTGGGCTGGAGAAGAGGCAAGTGGGCACAGAACTATTGAGTGAGTTTCCATTTTGGAGTGTTGACTTCGAGGTGCCTGTGGGCCACTGGAGGGAGGAGGCAGGAGTCTGAGAGAGACTGGACTGGGCTGGAGATGAGGGTGTTGCTGGTCTGTGGGTGTGAAGTAGGGTGTGGACGTCAGGCTGCCCTGAGAGGCCGCAGCCAGGATGAGATAAGAGGAACAGAAACATCTGCCAGCTGAAGGAAGACTCAGAAGGCAGCTGGAAAGGAGAGAGAAACCCAGAACTGAGAGAAGAGGGATCCAGCTCCTTCAAATGCCGGAAACAGGCCAAGTAAGATGAGGCCAGCAAAGGGATAGGGTCTTGGGAGGCGGCAGGCCCTTGGAGGCACCAGACAGCTTCATTGGAGAAGCTGTGGCTGGATGGCAAATTATGGGGGCCTGTGGGATGACTAGTGATGAGGGGGTGGAAATAGAAAATGGCATCAGGCTGGAAGAGGGGGACTTTAAAGTTGTTTCCAGGCAAGGGGAAGGGAGGTTCGCATATGCAGGGAAGCCGGGCTTGTTGATGCCCCTGAGTCTAGGATGAGACTGAGGATCACTGAACACTTGGGAACATGGGTTCGTCAAAGGAGCAGGGCACCTCTTCTTGCGGGAGAGGGATCTGTGGGTGCCAACACAGACCTGCCCAGATTACACATTCCTTTTGCTTGTAGTTGTTTTATTAGCTTATTATCATGCTTTTGTACTTTACATGCTATTTGAATAGCATGTGGTCATGAGCTCCAGTATTTATCACCTGAATTTATCAGTATTTATCACTCTCTCTTTCCCCGAGAGTCTATTAAGTAATTCCGTTTATATACTTCTATGATTTGAGACTTGCTTGATTTGTGGAGCTTAGAATTATCTCTTTGTCACATATCACAGGTTGCAAAAAGTTTAGTTCCAGTAGGTATTTATTTGATGTGTTTGAATAGGCAACATTATGTAGTAGTGTTTTAATGCAAAAGTATGCTGTTTACTTAAAATAATGATACAAAAGCCATGTAATGAGTTGGAGAGATCTTTTTTGCCAAGTATCTGCATTAGAGAAGAGAGCTTTTCTTTGTTGCTTGGAATTTAGAAATAATCTTTTGCAACCATTTGTGATTTCAGGTTGAACTCTGAGGTGCTCTGAGGCCTCTGGAGGGTACTTGAGGGACTGCATTTAGTCTCTGAGGGGGCCCTGCCTGTCTGGGTGGTGCCTTTTAATTACCCAGTGTGTGACACTGAGGCTGGGTTAAAGCAGACTCAGCAAACCCAGAAGTAGCTGCTGGTTTTAGGTGCTTTAGTCTGCAGTGAGAGATGGGTGAGAGATGCTTAGGCCCAGTGAGAGATGGATGGGTGTAAGAGAAGGGAGAATTTCAAATTAAGGAAATCATCGGTTTTATGGGAAGTGCTGTGTATGTTTTGCATTGTCTCAGCTGACAGTTTGACTCTCTTTAAATACCTGTAGGTCCCTCAACCAAGAGAGTTAAAACTCTCTGTTCAATAGTTTGCTTCTGTGAAGGAGATGCTAGTAACTGTTATCATTAGGACCAGTGGGGAGTGTTCAATAGTTTGCTTCTGTGAAGGAGATGCTAATAACTGTTATCATTAGGACCAGTGGCGAGGTGTGGTCAGGGTCCTAATTCACAGATGGAAATAGATGTGCTGCTTGGAAGGAGCAAAATGATTGCCCATCTATACCAAGACTAGGGCGATATGCCTTGCTGTGCGCTTACCAACATCCCGGCCCCCTTCATTCCTAGCTGTACCTTTCCCTTCTCCGTAGTATAAAAGTAATACAAGGTGCCCCCAGGTGAGATCCTTCCAAAGGAATCGACAGGTTCGGGTATGGAGAAAGAGGGGCTTGCTGATGCTGAACTGCTCATGCGATGTCTGGTGTCCCGCAGTTGCACCCCGCCATCAAAGCATTCCTGTGTGGTGCCATCAGCGGGACCTGCTCTACCCTCCTTTTCCAGCCTCTGGATCTCCTCAAAACTCGCCTGCAGACTCTACAGCCCTCGGCCCATGGGTAAGCCTCCCATTCCACAGGGAAGCTCGTTTTAATGACTTCCCAGACACAGAAGTGCCTTGACCGCGCTAAGTCAGCTTCCATTCTGTTGGATGTTCGAGAAACACAGGCCATGCCCAGCTCTTGTGTGATTTGTGTATATTTGTGACTATGAATATTTTTTTATGTTTAACTCTTCATGTGATCCTTTGTTGGGCAACTTGGGGTGATCTGCCTCAGCGACATTTGTGCTAGCCTAATGTTGTGACTGTGCTGCCTGGCAAGAGGTGTGGGTGGGTGTCTGGAAATACTGTGTGTATTGCGTGACTCCTTTGTGCCCCTGTTTTTGGCGCAGCACAGGGAAGTGTGCGAACTGTATGTCCAGTGGGGTTATCCCATGGTTGCAGTATGGCTGGACAGATAAACACGTGCCAAGTCAGGAACACACAGGAGCCCAGTCATTGTAGAGACGCATTGTAGAGATTAAGTGTTCTAGAAAAGAATCCATGCAAAGAAGTCTTTGTAAGGAGTTCTTTTACGAGGACATGGTCTAAGTGACTTTTTCTCTGCCCCCATTTGTCTGCCCTCAGATCCAGACGTGTTGGGATGTTGGCTCTGCTTCTGAAGGTGGTTCGCACGGAGAGTCTCCTGGGCCTTTGGAAAGGGATGTCCCCTGTAAGCTACCTTTTGGATTGTCTCTTGCACCCTCTCCTTTAAGAACCAGCTGTTTCTCATCTACTACACATATCCTCTCTTTTAAGGGTGTCTGAGTGTTGGCATTGGCGTGTGGGCCTCCGTAGAGCAGGCGCAGGTGGCCCTGCCTGTCTTCCGGTTCAGGACCTTAACCCTGCAGTGCCAGAGGCTGAGACCTCCACAAATGCATTTTTTCTCCTGACAGCTTTTCCTGGCTCACTTTGCTAGACGTGCAGGGGATTAAGGCTCACTCCAGCCCTGCAACAGGCCTCCCTTGCTGAAACATCAGAGCTGATGTTTCAAACCTCCCTCGCCCAGCTCAGGTTCTACACTGATTCCTAGAGTTGCCCACAGCAGTAGCTGGTTAGGAAACTCCCTGCATGACTGCCTTTCCTCAGTCTCCCCCACTTTCCTATCATTTCCTCCACATGTTAAATCAACCATTGTGTGTGAATCTGAGTCCTCTTTTGGGCAAACACAGCCGAGAAAGGTAGCTTAGTATTCAGTCTGATGTCTCTCCTCCCTCTGGCTTTTTCTGCAGTCCATTGTGAGGTGTGTCCCCGGTGTTGGAATCTACTTTGGCACACTCTACACATCGAAGCAGTACTTCCTTCGAGGCCATCCTCCCACTGCCCTGGAGTCCGTCATGCTGGGGGTGGGCTCTCGCTCAGTGGCAGGGGTCTGCATGTCCCCCATCACTGTGATCAAAACACGTTACGAGGTGAGTGGCTGCTTTAGATCCTCAGGGTGGGTAAACAGGGCCACTGGACTCAAGAGCCCAGTGGCCCTCAGTGTCACTCCAGTTTATGGTCTAACATGTGGCTGATATGCCCACAGTGCCCATCTATGTCGGCAGGCCCTGGCTTCCATGCCAGTCACCCGTCTGTGCTTCCTTTGCAGAGCGGGAGGTATGGCTACAAGAGCATCTACGCGGCGCTGAAGAGCATCTATCGCAGTGAGGGCCACCGGGGCCTTTTCAGTGGCTTGACGGCGACACTCCTTCGTGATGCTCCCTTTTCCGGAATCTACCTGATGTTTTACAACCAGACCAAAAACATTGTGCTCCATGGTATGGATAAAGGGAGATGTGGTGGGGAAGAGATCTCCCTGAGATGATTTGATGCTTTTTTTTTTTTTTTTTAAGATTTATTTAGTTATTTATTTATATAAGCACTGGGTACAGTCAGAAGCGCGGGAGGGCGAGAGAATTCACCAGAGCCAGAGCAGGGAGCAGAGCAGGCAGAAGGACCGAAGTACACTGCTGAGGGGAGCAGCGGGTGCTGCAGGAGAGGTCTGCGCGCCATGCGGGACCCTCCTCCAGTGGCCTTGGAGCAGCCGGGGATTGAACCGGCAACTGCAGAGGCTGCTGGCAGCTTCGCAACCCAGCGCTCAACCGCTGCGCCACCGGGGAGGCCCTGATTTGTTGCTTTTTGCAGAACTGAGATCCATCAGCATGTGTGAGGCAGGAGCAGGTGCCGGCATGCATTGTGGACATGACGGGTGTGGTCCCTGCCTTTCCCACTCACTTATGGCCTATTAAAGCAAAGTAGTGGCAGGCCTGTAACTCTTGGTAGAGTGTTAGAGGCAGAATAAAGCATGTTTCTCATAGGTTCTGCATAGTTTTTAAATTTGTCTGACCTTAAGAATGCTGGGCCCCATCAATGGCCTCCTAAATCAGAAGCTTTGGGAGAAGACTTGGGAGCCTGCATTTTGAGGAAGCATTTGATGTGATTCTGATCAGACAAATTTGGAAAATGCCAGTCGGGAAGAGCTTGAAGAAAAAAGATTATTTTTCCATGCCTTGCTGTGTGCCCAGCTAACTGGATTTTGAGCCTGTCCTTTGGGTGGCGGAAAGGGTGCCAAACCTCAGGTGTTGTGGTAGGCCCACCTTACCAATAAGTTTATTTGAACCACACGTAGACAAAATCAATGGCAGTGCCCACCACATCAGAGCCAGGTGGTATAGAAACACACCCTTAGAATGAACCTGTATTCGGTAGGCTATCTATGGGTAGTTTAAGCCAGGAATGCGGCTAAGGTTATTTCCCCTGTCATGCACCATTGTGGCGGTGGTGACCAGCTGTAGGTGGGGTGCTGGGGAGATTTGCTGCTTCTCCCCAGGCACCAGGAGGTGTGACACTACAGGCCACAGCCTTATTTGCAGTAGAAAGTTAAGTCAGTAAGGGAACTAGGATGTGCATTTTTAATTTCTCAATCTACCTGTAATTTTTTTTAATTTGGTATTTAGAAGTCATTTCCCTTAACAAAACCCAAAAGGATAGTACAAATCATTTTATAATCCTTTACTATACTCTTTTTCCCTATATAATCCTTTCTCCAGACCATTAAAATGTTGCAGATAGGGCCTCCCCAGTGGCGCAGCGGTTGAGCGCTGGGTTGCCAAGCTGCCCACAGCCTCTGCAGCACCGGTTCGATCCCCGGCTGCTCCCCGGCCACCAGAGGAGGGTCCCACATGGCGCACAGACCTCTCCTGCCGCCCGCTGCTCCCCTCAGCAGTGTACTTCGGTCCTTCTGCCTGCTCTGCATCCCGCTCTGGCTCTGGTGAATTCTCTCACCCTCCCGCGCTTCTGACTGTACCCAGTGCTTGTATAAATAAATAAATAAATACATAAATCTTAAAAAATAAAATAAAATAAAATGTTGCAGATACATGCTCTTTTGCCCTTAAACACCAACCACAGTGTGTTTCCTGAGGACAAGGACTTTCTCGTATGACCATCTTTTCAGGGTTAGGAAATTTAACATAGGGACAATTCTGTGATCTCTCTCCAATCTAGAGGCTCATTGTCTCCAAATGTCCCAGTGGTGTACTTTGTAGCCGTTTGGTTTTTTATTTTCAAGAGTGTAGTTGCCTAACCTCAGTAAGGGTTTATCTGATGTTTCCCCATGACTGAGTTCAGTTATACATTCTGACAAAGCACTACAGAAACATCTCCCTGGTGCCTTAGGTTAGGAAGCTAGTGATATTGGTTTGACCCATTATAAGTGAGGTTGACTTTTTAATCACTTGAATATGATAGTGTTTCCACTGACAACACAGTTTTTTCGGGAGCAGGGGCTCTGTCAAATTGTCCACTATGAAAATGTCCATTATTTGACTTTGTCATTCTGACTTCCCTCAACTCCGTCTTGCTGTTAATAACGTCTTGCCCTTATAGTTGGACTGTGTGGATATATCACATCTTCTGAAATCCATTTTTTTTCCTTTTGTGATTTGTAAGTGGGGGCTTTTGCACGTGTGTGTGGAAATACTTGGACTCTATATAAAACATCCTCCTTTCATCCATATGTTTTAGCGTCAATTAATCATTCTCAATTATTGTGATGGGTATAAAAAGGTGAGTTTTGAGTTCCATTCTTCCATCTATACTTGTTAGATTTGCCTTTAATTTTTAATTTTAACCTTGCTCGAATCTAGACTTTTCTGGCTTTTGGGAAGAATTAGTGGACAACTCAGCATTGCTATTTATCTGATGAACTGAGATTTATTTATAACTGGATGTTGCCTTTGCTCTATTTCAGATCAGTTGGATGCAACCCTTATTCCAATTGTAAATTTCAGCTGTGGGATATTTGCTGGTATTCTGGCCTCACTGGTAACTCAACCTGCCGATGTTATCAAAACTCACATGCAGCTCTCACCAGTGAAATTTCGGTGGATTGGACAGGCCGTGACACTCATTTTCAAAGTAAGGCTATAGGATGAATACTGGTTCTGGTTCAGGCTCTCTCCAGAGCAAAGACATGCACCCCTTACATATTAGAATCACCTGGGAGAGCTTTAAAGTCCCATTTCCAGGTTACAACTTACGCTGATTATGGCAAAATTTCTGGAAGTTGAAGCCCTTAAGTTCCCTAGTAATTGCAGTGGGTTGCTATGGTTGAAAATCTCTGTTAAAAACCTATGATTTTTTTTTCTTTTGGGACAGGGTGGGGCTATGGAGGTGGAGGGTCATCTACATTAGGACAACCTAAGGTATTTGTTAAACATGCAGATTGCAAGACTGTACCCCAGACCTACTGAATCTGGAAGGTGACTTGGGAGGCCCTAGAAATATAATCAAGGGCCTAAGAGGAAATGTGGTAAAAAAAAAACATAGACATGTTTTGTTTCAGGAATTTGTTCTACTACAAATAGTATTATGAAGATAAAAGGTACAATTGCTGAATTTAAAAACCACTATTTAAAAACCACTGAATTGCTCTTTGAAACTTGTATTGGTATTTCAAACCAGATATTCTTGTTCACGGTAAATATGTCACCTATATCTTTGTATTTTCCTGTCCTCAGTATTTCATGCATCAGAGGAGACCTCTGTTATTTGTCTCACCCCAGACAGAAGCAATTATATGTGGACCTGATACTATTCCTCCTATTGCTTAGGTTGCCTTTTTTTGTACCTAAAAATGAGGAAGTTTGAAAATACTTTTTTTTTAAAGATTTATTTATTTATGCATACAAGAACTGGGGTGTAAGCCAGAGGTGCGGGAGGTGAGAGGATCCACCAGAGACAGAATGGGGAGGAGAACAGATGGATGTACTGAAATACACTGCTGAGGGGAGCAGCAGGCAAGGCAGGAGAGGTCTGCTGTACCATGTGGGTTGCTCCCTGGCCGGCCGGGGATCAAACTCATGCTGTAGTGGCTGGTGACAGCTTGATAGCGCTGTTTTTAACCTCTGTGGCACGAGGGAGGGCCCTGAAAATACATTCTTCTTTTTTTTTTTTAAAGAAATCAGACTGCATAATTTTTTTTTTTTTAAGATTTATTTATTTATTTATACAAGCACTGGGTATAGTCAGAAGCGCGGGAGGGTGAGAGAATTCACCAGAGCCAGAGCGGGGAGCAGAGCAGGCAGAAGGACCAAAGTACACTGCTGAGGGGAGCAGCGGGAGGCAGGAGAGGTCTGTTGCGCCATGTGGGACCCTTCTCCGGTGGTCAGGGAGCAGCCGGGGATCGAACCGGTGCTGCAGAGGCTGCGGGCAGCTTCGCAACCCAGCGTTCAACTGCTGAGCCACCGGGGAGGCCCCCTGAAAATACATTCTTGAAATGTATTTTAAAGAATGTGAAAATGGCTAGAATAACACCAGGAGTGAACCAAGCAATCCAGGTTACAGGGGAGAAGAAAGAGGTATTTTGTCTTTAATTCTTGTATAAGGTCACCAAGAACATACAGTGAATTATAAAAACATGCTCCCTCTAGGTACATTGACAAGGCAAGCAGACCTTGGTCTGGATTTCAGCAGCTGCTTTGGGCTCAGTGCTTTTGTGCATAAAACACACTGTCCAACTGTCCATGGCAACCCTGTGTAAAGATTTTCAGCTAAGAAATAAATTCCTCTGGATAAGACATACCTAACAAGATGAGGCTTAGCCACTCAGCACTTTAAGTTGATTGATCATCTCCATAGACCCATTATTCATAGTGTTGAGATTTTTAATAAAAGTCTGAAAACTAAGACTTAACAATGGAGTAACAGAGAGACCCTCACTTTCATGCCAGGTGCACAGTTTTGCTAATTTGCTTCCAGGCTTTTGACTTTCACTATCCCCACAGGACTATGGGCTGCGGGGCTTCTTCCAGGGCGGCGTCCCCCGGGCCCTCCGCAGAACACTGATGGCTGCCATGGCATGGACAGTCTATGAAGAGATGATGGCCAAGATGGGCTTGAAGTCCTGACCCGACAGGGCACTCGGGAATGATGGGATCTATCGCCCTGCCTGTTCTCTGCCAAGAGCTTCTTCACCTCTCTACCCTGGAGTAAGATGAAGCCCTACCTGGAGTGCCAGGCAGTTACCTCATCTTCTGTTATCCAGTTCGAGTAGAGAATAGATGGGTGTGACTCAAGCCTTTGGAATGTCCCCAAAGAGAAGTCATGGAAACGTACAGCTTGGTGGGGAGTTAGGAGAAGGGTTTCATACCCTGCACGGCTACTTGAAAAGGCATTTGCAGCTGGCAGCTGGTGGGTGACCCCACCCACCTACGCCAAGCCTCCTTGGCTCCCTTCTTAGGCAGGGAATGTCACAACCAAGGCAGCTGTGAGCTGCCCACTGTGACTGAGAAGCTTCAACTGGAGAGGCTGAGTCTTCCCAGAGAGGAGTCGCTGCCACTAGGCTGAAGTCTGCACCTTAGGCGATGTTAGGATGAGGAAGAATAGATGGCATTATTTAATTGGTTACTAATCTACTTCTCAGATGGTCTGGGAAGTGGGGGACAATGGCTTCCTGGCCTCTAAATGTCCAAATAAACATTCTTGATTTTGACCCCTTTTTTGGCTTTAGGTTGTTCTGGCATTTTTCTGCTTCTAAAGTTCAGATAAATAAAGGGAAGCACTTTATCATTGAAAGCTGTTTGGAAAACCTAGTGTCTCCAGGGTTCTAAAATAACAAAATGGTCAGGGTGGCTGCCTGTCTTTTGACCTATATAAGTCTAAAATTTAAAAGTAGTTTTCAAACAGTTTTGCCTTACATATAAAATTCATCTACTTCAAAACATACATGTCAATGACTTTTAGTAACTTTACGGTATGGTACATCCATCAGCATAAATCAGTTTTAGGACTCATTCATCCCCCAGTAAGAGCTCTATTTTCTTTTTTTATTGTGATATAACTGACATTAGTAGACACACCATGATTTGCTACTTGTGTATGTTGCAAAATAATCAGGATGAGTCTTAACATTCATCATCACGCACAAAAATTTTTTTCCTTGTGATGAGAACTTATAAGAGTTCTTTGTTTTTTTTTTAAAAGATTTATTTATTTATTGCATAGAAGAACTGGGGTGTAGGCCAGATATGCAGGGGTGGGAGGATTTACCAGAGACAGAATGGGGAGCAGAATAGATGGATTTACTGAAATACACTGCTAAGGGGAGCAGTGGGTGGGATGAGAGAAGTCTGCTGCACCAAGTGGGTCATCTCCTTGGCCTGGATCAAGTTCATGGTGCTGTGGCTGATGATAGCTTGACAGCACTGAGACTTTATCTCCTGTGCCACCAGGGATGCCCTATAACAGTTCTTTTTTTTTTTTAAGATTTATTTATGCATGCAAGAACTGGGGTACAAGCCAGACCGGGGCCGGGCATTGAGAGGATTCACCAGAGACAGAGTGGGGAACAGAACAGGCAGATCCACTGAAATACACTGCTGAGGGGAGCAGTGGGTGAGTCAGGTGAGGTTTGCTGCGCCATGTGGGTAGCTCCCTGGCCGGTGATCAAACATGTGCTACAGTGGCTGTGGATAGCTTCGTAGGTTGCATGTTAACCCCTTGCGCCACCAGGGAGGCACCCTATAAGAGTTCTTAACTTTAAAATACTCTTAACTTTCAAATATAGCATGTCTCCCAGTAATGTTTCCTTCAACATCTTTTGATGATATCACTGATATCACTGAAAAGAAACCCATCCTACAGCATTAAGGGACCTTCACTCAGTTTCCAAGAACCTCAGCAGACATTGAGGACATGCAGTGCAGTGTTATTAACTGTAGTCAATGTTACCTCACCACAAAAACCAAGTGGAAGATTGTGGCAACAAGACTTTACTAGGGTCAACTAACAGGCTAAGGGATGACTCCCAAAGTAACTTCTCCCTTTCTAAAGGGAGTCTGGATTTGTATAAGATTATTGGTATTGAAACAGGTATTGGGGACAGGGTGGGGTGTTGGGAATCTTGGTTGCTCAGACACAGTGAGGCTTACAGGACCAGATCTTTTCCTCTGCTCTGGATCTGACAAGGGCCACCCTCCCTACCCTACCCTTGGATGGGAATTTCACTATGTAAATGGATGTTAAAGAGCCTAAGTTAATGTTAGGGTCCTTTTTGCCCCTTGGTTGCTTTTAACCAATTTGGGCTGGAATGTGCACCTGCCCTTGGCCAACCTGCCCTAAATAGCTCTCGGGTTTGTCCTGCTAATGCAAGTTTGCATTGTAAACTTTCTGGGTAATGTCGAATTGTACATTATATTCCCAGTCTTGCTTATTTTGAACTGTAAGTTGGTAACTTTTGACCTTCACCCACTTGATTCCGCCCACCCCTCCCCCAACCATCAACCTCTTTAACAATTGCATCATCATTTATAATTAATCCCTTTTCAATCCCAGCCCCAGGTAACCAGTGATGCCTTTCATCTATCAATTTGCTTTCTCTGTATTCTTCATGTAAATGGAGTCAGGATATCGTCTCTTGTGTCTAGCTTATTTCACTTTCTGTTTCTGAGGTTCTTCCATGATGTGGCATGTTCAATACCTTTTCATGGCCAAAATTCTTTTTTGTATTCCTTTCGCATATTTTTACCCATTTGTCAGTTGATGAATATTTGAGCTACTTTTCGGCTCTTACGAATAATACAACTATGAACAATAGTGTTACAGATGTTCATGTGAACATATATTTTCATTTCTCGTGTGTATGTGCCTGGTGTGGAATTACTATATCACGTGGTAACCCAATGTTTAACAATTCCAGAGCCAAAATTTCTTACAAAGGGTAAGTAATTTTGATGTTTTTCCAAAGTGTTTATACCATTTCATATTCCCACCAACATGCAAGGGTTCCACGTCCCTCCCCATCCTTAATTTTTATCTTTTATTCTAGCCACCCTGGTGGGTGTGATGGAATCTGGTTGTGCATTTGATTTGCATATCCCTGATAACTGTGCTACTGTCCATTTGCATATCTTTGAGAGAACTCTCCATTAAGTCCTTTGAGTGTTTTTAAATCTGACCTTGGTTTCTGATGGAATCATTGCATTATCCTTTTTTGTGACTTACATACCCAACAGCAGTGTGTGAAGGTTCTGATTTCTCCACATCCTCTTCAACACTGATTACTGTCTGTTTTATTTATTATAGCCATTCTAGTGACTTTTTAAAATAAACTTTCAAACTTAGGAAAGGATCGTCAGTTTATTCACACAGAAGGGGGTATGTTTGGTCTAGTGCTTAGGAACATGCGCTATGATCCAGGCAGCCCAGGATGAAAGCTTGGCTCTCCACTTATTTTGACACATTTAAAGTTGTGCCTGGGAACGAGGAGGGTAAGTTTTCCTGCCTCCTAGAGTGGGGGGGAGGAATAAGTGAGCAAAGTTTCCTTCTACATTATGTCTGTTCCCTAGAGCTGCTGCAACAGATTACAGCAAACCAGATGGCTTCCAAGGAGAGAAATTTATTCTCTCCCTTTCTGGAGGCTACAAGTCTGAAATCCAAGGTGTCAGTGGGCTGTACTCTGAAGGCTCTAAGGTGACATAGTCCCTGTCTCTTCAGCTTCTTGTAGATACTGATAGTCTCGCCATTCATCGCTCCATACTCTCCTACCTCTCCACAACGCTTTCTCCCCCATGTTTCTGTCTGTGTCCAAGTTTTGCCTTCTTTTGGGACACTCGCCATTAGATTAGGATCCATGCCAATCCAATATGACCTCAACTTAATTACCTCTCCAAGACCTATTTCCAAATAAGGTCACATTTATAGAATCTGGGGGTTAGGACTCCAATTTATCTTTCTGAGGTACATAAGTCAACCCATAGCACACTATATTAAGTTTAATGGTTTACATAAAGTAAGTTTAGGCTTTAGGTTAAAATGCCCTATTCAATGGGAGAGGACAAAGTAGGATCCCAATCTCACAGTGTCAGCCCAGTCACCAGTGTTTGGGATGTCGTGATGCTTGGGGAAAGCCTCCAGCAGTCTGACTGGTGTACTGAGAAACAATGCAGGGAGTAAGCAGGTTAACACCCACCTGGTTGGTGTCCTTGGGGCCTCATGTCATGGAGAACCCTCAGGATGAGGCCCCTCAGGGATGAGACTGATCTGAGGCTTCCATCCCATTGCAGATTTTGCTAGGTTTATACTAGGCTGATAAACTTCAGCCACCAGAGTCCTCTCCTGTGTTCCTTATTTGGTTTTTTTGGGTCAAATAATGATAAGATTGGGAGAAAGTCTGATTTTCTCTAAAATGAAAGTTTTAGAGTAAAAATAAAATTCGTTTTTTCGAACCCCAACTTCAGGGGCCAGCATCCCTGGAGAAAATCTCAGGTGCCAGAACTTGTTTTTTTTCCTCTTCTGCAATCTCATTTGAGTATGAAAGTTCAGAAAGGAAGTGGCTAGTGTGCTTCAGTTGACTTTCCAACTATTGCCACCCCCCCCCTTTTTTTTTTTCAAATTGATTCGTTCTTGGCTGCCTCGCACAGCAAATTATTTAGAGGCTGGACTTTGTGGGAGGAACAGTCATCTGGCCACTAGAGATAAGGTCTAGCAGAGCCTGAGCCAAAAGAGGACACAGAAGCAGAAGGTTCAGCTGCCAGCATACTCATTTCTGAAACTTAAATATTTCCAATTCAACCGCAGAGCATGTGATTCATGGGCCCTTCATCCCCATCCCCCGGGGTGAACTGTTTTCAAGGTTTTACCATGCTAGCTTGTCTCTCTCTTCTCTCCCACTTTTTCCTTTTCTCGATGACATTTTTATTTTTATTTAAAGGAGGAAATTCATTTTTTAAAATATTTATTTTCATTTATTTATGCATACAAGAACTGGGATGTAGATCAGAGGTGCAGGGAATGAGAGGATTCACCAGAGACAAAGAGGGGAGCAGAACAGGTGTAACTACTGAAATACACTGCTTAAGGGAGCAGCGGGTGAGACAAGAGAGGTCTGCTGTGCCATATGTGGGTTAGCTCCCTAGCTGGGGTTCGAACTCAAGCCTTGGCGAATGCCCTCGTGGTGATAACACCGAGACTTAATCCCTAGGCCACCAGGGAGGCCCGTCCCAGAAAGATTTTTTACAATCTGTTTATTTGAATCACTATTCAAACAAGGAGCACACAATGCATTGGATTTTTAAAATCTTTATAACCCAGGGCCTCCCTGGTGGCGCAAGATGTTAAGATGCAATCTATGAAACTATCCACAGCCACGGCAGCAACAGTTTGATAGCCGGCCAGGGAGCTATCCACATGGCACAGCAGACCTCTCCTGACTCGCCCACTGCTCCCCTCAGCAGTGTATTTCAGTGGATCTGTCTGTTCTGTTCTCCACTCTGTCTCTGGTGAATCCTCTTACCCTCCACCCCTCTGGCCTGTGCCCCAATTCTTATATGCATAAGTAAATCTTTTTAAAAACTTTATAACCCAGGACAGTACCCCTCCTGTGTACTTCTTGGTTCCCTCTTGTCCTGTGAAATGTCCCACTTCCTGAATTTATTTTCTTAGGGTTTAATTTCTTCCTCTATCACATATTTTCTGTAAATTGTATGTTCTCTCCAATGACTTCATTAAGTTCATATTCTCTCCATTTCTCAGACAAGAATCCTTTGCAGTTGGTGCTGTGGAATTCTGATTGTACTGCACCAGGATGCCCCTGGGACCTGGCTCTTCCATTTTTTATTGATGCTAAAATTCACGAGTGGGTTCATGTTGAGAACCTAATGTCTCCATTGCAAAGTTGCAATCAAACTTTTAACAACTTTGCTTATATCAGTTATTTCATTGAAGGTTATAAAAATGATGTCCTCATTGTATCATATCTTCCACACTTATAACTCCTTTCTGTAAGAAAACTTTATTTTTATCAAATAAGGCAATTTGATTGGGTAAATGAATTCTTTTCTTTAATTTCCACTTTATAGAACTGTGGTCTGGTGCTATAGTTACTGCTCAAAAAGAACAGTGAAGTTACTTCCCCTTTTTTTCAGGGGAGGATTTTCACCTTGTGGTTTTTTTTTTTTTTCATTGTGGTTGTGTTTTTAAGTATGAATTCATAGGGAAAAGTTTTCTGAAACTTGTTTATGGAACTATTCGAACGAGTACACAGCTGAGAATAGTGTAATGAAACTCCACGTACCCATCACCCAGTTTTAACAAGCATCTACATTCGGCCAGTCTTGTTTACTCTTCCCCCTCCCGGCATCCCCTCAACTGGATTATTTTGAAGTAATTCCCAGACATGTCATTTCTTCTGTTACTATTCTGTGTATATCCCTAAAAGATAGACTTTTCCCGACATCTCCTCAACTGGATTATTTTGAAGTAACTCCCAGACGTGTCATTTCTTCTGTTACTGTTCTGTGTATTTCCCTAAAAGACAGACTTCTTTCAGAACATCCACCATGAACACAAGTATGTGGTTGTCTTCTGTCTTCCTTAAGATTGACTCTGTGGTCAAGAGGAGACTTGATAGTGTCACAGTGGTCAGGCTTTTTTTGGAGGGTGCTTTTCCCAGGATTTGTGGGTTGCCTTTGGAGTGTGTGTGTGTGTGTGTGTGTGTGTGATGGGCACTTGTCTGCACTGTTTTCTTGGCCTTCCAAGTTTTCGTTTTGACTGGGCAGGGGCCTCCTTTTTGCTTTTGGGGTCATTGTCATGACAAGCTATTGACATTTTAAGAGTTCAGGTTTGCTTATTTGGGGTTTGTATGATGTTTCTTCATGATTTGATTTAGGTTTTAAATTTGGGGCAAGAATATCACAGAAGTGATGCGTGCTTCAAAAAATAAGACTTTGAGATAGAATTTACATGTTATTAAAGTCAGTCTTCAGTGTGTGTAAATTTGAGTATTTTCAGCATATTCACAAGGTTGTGCATTGATCACCACAAATCCTAGAATACACAGTATTTTTGAAATCTGACAGTCCGTCTTTCACATACAGTTTTCCAATGTTGTGACTGCACTTCCCGTGGCTCCTTCAGGCTGACAGCACCTGTGGCAGCCCACCACTGCCAGCTCAGGGTTGATGAGGCATCTGTGGCATTGCCACGTGTGCAGCCATCCCAGGCCGGGTGGGTTCCTTATTGTTTCTCACAGGTGAAAAGAAAATTTTGGAGCCTTTGGTATTATTTTACAGGCTTTGAATGCTGAATCAGGTAACCAGGCACAGGCAGACCAGCAAGCAGGGAGACAGTCAGGCAAGGCATGGGGCTGGGAGGCTCTAGAGGCAAGTGAGCCCCCCCAGCCCCCTCGATCTGTGTGCTCTCTTGGTCTCCATCTCCTCTGCCCTCTTATCGCTCACCTCCTGGGCCCAGGTGTCTACAATCACAGGTGCCTGTGCCCCGTACACACACTTCTCAGCCCGGGCCACCAGGCCACCTAGGAGTGCAAGCCTGCAGGTGCTAGCCACAGAGGCTAGCAGCAGGAGGGGGGAAAAAGCCTGAACCTCCATTTTCCCTACACTAAAGCATCTCCATTCTTGGACTGCCAGTACGGAACTGGCTGTATCAGTGCCAGGAAATAGAAAAGGGGAAAGAACTGCATCTCCCACCCCTTACTCCCTTCTTTGAACAGTTTTGGGAGAAAAAGGCAACTATCTCCAAGCCATACATCTTTGTGCAGGTCAAGTTTTACAAAAGTTCAAGCACAAGCAATGGGGGTCTAATTCTTCAAATTCCTGCTAGTGGAAATGAAGCATGCCTTCCAGGCGGCCCCCTAGGATGGGAGTGAGGTGGAAGGGTATTACGGGGTCCCTAGGTTGCCTCAGGTCTTCTTTCCCCTTCCCCTTCTCTGTCACTTAACTCAGGAAAGACCAAAGCTACACTAAAAGGTGGAAAGTTTGAAAAGGTATAAAAGTATTTCTTATTTGGCAAATTAATAATTGCAGATAAAACTTCCTATTTCTTTGAATTGTTTCCTCCCAGAGAAATGAGGACCCTGAGATTCTTCACCAGCTGTTTCAAAGTAATTTTGATGCAAACCACAGTTAAATGAGTCAGTTCCTGAGGGCCCAGTCAAGCCTAGGAACCCAGAAATGACCCTGGGTAGGGTTTGCAAATCTGAGCTCTGCTCACAGAGGCAATGACAATTCCATTCCCTATCCCCCATTTAGCAATGTGCATTTCTAACTTCTGGCTGACATCAAATTCTCAAACCTCAGCTTTTGTCATGCTGTAGGGTAAGGAAAAAGTATCAGGCTTTTCTGCCCTCCCGCCATTAGGATAGATGAGGGAACCCTGTGGTCCTGAATGCATGCCTGATGGCGGGCACCTGAAGTGGGTACACCAGGGCTGAGAGACTGAGTTCATAAGGGCGGCGTCACGGGACGCCAGCAGAAGCCAAGAACAAACGGAAACAGGAGAGCAAAGAAGCAGAGAGAACACGAGAGAAGGCCAGAGAGCCCAGATAGAGTGAGGACTTGTTGGGAGGACTGCCAGCCTCCCGGCCCCCCAGCACCCCTGCCTGCCATATGCCTGGTAAATCTAAAAGACCTGCAAAAGCCACTGAGGACTCTGACTCCTCCTTTACCCGGTCTGCTGGATCAGAAAACCTGCTCAGTGCCCTGTTCCTGCCCTTACACATGCCCTCCAAAAAATCTGGCTTTAAACAATAGCCTCTAGATGTTATTTCAGTTTCCAATTTCTTCCACCCTCTAGGGAACCACTAGTTCAGGTAGCTGATAAACACGCTGGAGTCCTAAGATCGGTTGAAAGCCACCGTTTTCAAACTTGGCTGCACAGTGGCGTCATCTGAAGAGTTTTAAAAACCCCGGGTCCCGGGCTTCTCCCCCCACCCCCGAGTTCTAATGTAATCTTCCTAGATGGTGATCTGGGCAACTCCTCAGGCGATTCCAACCCGCAGCCCTGTTAGAGAACCAAGGACGACCCCTGCAGGTCCCAAAGCACCACTCAGCTCTCCCAGCCTGGGCTCCAAGGGTTAATCCAGGGCACGCAGGTCCAGGCCGCCGCGAGCGCCCGGCGGGGCTCGGCGGGGCTCGGCGGGGCTCGGCGGGGGCGGGGAGGGGCGGGGCGCGGCCTCGGCGGGCGCGGGCGGGAGCCTCCTGCCTCCGCGGCCTGCAGTCCCGGCTCCTGCCGCCGAGCGGAAACGCCTCCCGCCTCCCGCTTGCAAAACAAAGAGAAGCGGGAGGCGTGCGCGGCGCTCGAGGTGAGCTCTCCACGGGGCAGCCCCGCGGGTCCCGGTGCCGCCCGCCTCCTTGGGTGATGATGGAGGAGAGCCCCGGGAGCGGCCCGCGCTGGGGGTCCAATGGCCACCGGGCGCCTCAGGCCCTGGAGGAGCTGCAGAGCCGCTTGCTGGAGATCCTGGCCGTGCTGACCCCCCGGGAGCTGCGCAACTTCCGCGACCTCCTCAAGACCGTGGACGAGCTGCCGCGCGTGAGCCAGCTGCAGCTGGAGCTGGAGGGCGGCACCGCGTCGGGGCTGGCGCATCTCGTGGCCAAGCACTACTACCTGCCCGCCGCGCCCCGCGTCGTCGCCCAGGTGCTGGGGCGGCTGCGCCGCGCCGACCTGCTGCACCGCTGGCTGAGCGACCCTGCAGCCGAGCGCGCCGGTGAGCGCGGGGACCCCGCGGCTGGGGGTCCCGCCCCGGCCCTGGGGAGCGCGGAGGTGGGGCTCCGCTGCCCCGGGGGTCTTCGGGCGGGTGGGGAAGGTGGCTCGCTGCCCGGGGAGCGGCGGGGGCTGGACCCGACGCGGAGGGCTGAAGACGGGGGTTCGGGCGTCGCGGGACCCCAGTGCAGACGAACTGGCGGTGGGCGGTGATCGGGCGGGAAAGTCACCGTTCCCATCACGACATCAGGGTGTCTAGTCCATCTCGGCCTACCAGCGCGTTTTGGGGTGAGCTCAGATTAATGTTGCAGGCCTGAGCTGCACTTTTATTTTAGAAAGTACCTCCGAGTGGTTATGATGGAGGAGATTTTGTGATGCCGCCGTGAGAAACTGAGTTGGACTCCTCGCTGCCACAGCTCCGGGGGTGGGGTGGGGTGGGGGTGGGGTGTCATTTTCTTGCACAGGATCAGACCGTTTGCCATAAATGTGGGAAGGTGTGGCTTATGACCGAGAAATGCAGTGGGTAACAGTTGAGGTTAAGGATCTTCTCTCCTTCAAATTGTATGTGTGTGTGTGTGTGTGTGTGTGTGTGTGTGTGTGTGTAAGAGAGAGAGAGAGAGAAGAAGCAGATGCAAGAAGGCATTGCCATAGGTACTAAAATGTGCTCTTGGTCATCTCTGCCCTCAGCATGCTTATTATCTGGTTGAGTTACAGGTAGTTATCCTTGTTCTTTCTTCTTTTTTTTTTTCACTTTTAAAAAAGATTTATTTATTTATTTATGCATACAAGAACTGGGGTACAGGCCAGAGGTGTGTGTGGGGGGAGTGAGAGGATTCACCAGACACAGTGTGGGGAACAAGAACAGCAGATCTACTGAAATACACTGCTGAGGGGAGCAGTGGAGGAGACAGGAAAAGTCAACTACTGCCCTGTGAGCTGCCTCCCTGGCTGGAAATGGAACTGGTGCTGCAGAGGCTGCTGGTAGATTCACAGTGCTGGCTTCAACCCTTTGCAGCACCAGGGAGGCCCCTCTTTTTTTTTTTTTAAAAATTTGAGATGAATAACAACTGTAATTACCCACAGGGCCTGCAGGCAGACTACTGTCCTTGGCCCCAGGGAGTCTGTCTTTCTTCCTTTATCCTAATGCCTGGGGCTTAGTTGTTCCTCTATCACTTTTGGTATTACCCCATTAAACTGGGGTTTTCCTGCTGTTGACTTTTTTTTTTCTTGTTATTTCCCCCCCCCCAGAAACATCAAAACTACACAATATCATGTCTATTGCACTGTAAGCCCCCATAAATATTTGAATTGAATACTAAAAGTTTATGTTACATAAAAAAATAAAATATGGCCTGGTTCTTTTACTTCTTTCCTTTTATTGAAAACTTGGTCTACTCTTCACGGGGTGCTTGTGTAGCAATGGCAATTCGTCCTTGTCTTTTTTCTCTCTGGCTTAGCTCTTTCTCTGCCCTGGACCTGACATGGTTTAAGGGAGTTCTGTTAGGTTTCCATCCTCATGGGTTTGTGAAGGGGGGATCCCAAAACATAAGAGGCAACTGAATTCCTTGGGAGGCGCTTCCTGTTAACTGGAAGGACAGCAGATCTTGATAAAAAAGAGGGAAAAAAAGAAAAATATATATATAAACCTCTTTTTCTGTTTTATTCTCTTTTCATGAAAATTTATTCAGAGATTCCAAGAAAGATTCAAAAGAGAAGCTATGAGTGCATGGATGGCGAACTGGTAAATATCTTGTTTCTTACTTCAGCACTATACACAGATTAGTAGGCTAGCATTTAGCCACCATTCTGGTAAAAGAATAAAATCTAAATCTAGCCAACTGAAACCACTTTACATGCAGTAAACAATGGAGGCAGGCTCTGTAACTATCTCCAAATCAAGGAAAGTGAGGCACTCACTGGTGGTATGACCTTGGGCAGTACATGCATTGCTGGTTGCAAGATATTTTTACAGTTTTATTATGGACATTTTAAACTAAAGTAGAATTAGAAAATCACTCTCCCAACTCCAGGCCAATAACACTGGGCTTCTATATACAGCGTTATATGAGGATCTGGTGTCTTCTGCTCTCTACTCCTAGTCATTTTAAAATCAAAATAGCCTATCACTTTCACCTGTAAATACTTTTTTTTTTTTTTTAAAGATTTATTTATTTATTTATACAAGAACCAGGGTGCAGGCCAGATTCGCGGGAGGGTGAGAGGATTCACCAGAGACAGAGTGGGGAACACAGCAGGCAGACTGATGAAATACACTGCTGAGGGGAGCAGCGGGCGATGCAGATGAGGTCTGCCAGGCCATGTGGGATTCTCCCCGGCCAGCCGGAATCGAACCAGTGCTGCAGAGGCTGCAGACAGCTTCACAGTGCTGCACTCAACCGCCTGTGCCACCAGGGGAGGCCCTCACCTGTAAATACTTTTGTATGTATCTCTGAGAAAGATTTTTTTCCAAAACAACCATAGTACCATTACTACTTAAAAACAAACATGCAATTAGCATTCAGATTTCTTCCACTGTTCCTATGTCTGTTCCAGTTGTTTTGTTTGAATCAGCTACCCAGTTGCATTTCATTGACTTGTCTCTTAAGACTTAATTTATGATATTTCTTTCATCTTTAACCTTTTTTTCTTATTCATTGAAACCAGGGGATCCATAGAATGTCCCACATTTGGGATTTTGATGGCTATAGCCCCTTGTTGATTGCTACTTTCCTCTGCCATATTTCCTTTACCTGGGAGTTATGGTTATAGTCAGCTTTGTCTAAAAGTGCATATTAGTCCTAGTCTCAGAAAGGTATTTGTTTTTGTTTTTTCTGTTTGTTTTTTTTTAAAGGTTTATTTATTTATGCATGCAAGAGCTGGGGTACAGGCCAGAGATGCGGGGATTGGGAGGATTCACCAGAGACAGAATGGGGAACAGAATAGGCAGACTGACTGAAATACACTGCTGAGGGGAGCAGCGGGCGAGACAGGAGAGGTCTGCCTTGCCATGTGGGTTTCTCTCTGGCTGGCTGGGGATTGAACTCGTGCTGCAGAGGCTGCGGATTGCTTCATAGTGCAGTGCTTAACCCCTTGCTCCACCAGGCAGACCCTCAGAAAGGTATTTGAAAGAGTTGTAAGTCGAGTCGTTTCCCTGTTCTCCAGGACTGATGAGAGACCATCAGTGTGAGCTCCTGGTCTGAGCTCAGAAACCTCACCGTTAATCCCAGAAAAAACTAGTTGTTTCATATACATGTACTATTGGCTCTCCGAAGGGTTTGGCTTAAGTACTGTTGTGTGACTTTCCTTGCAAACAGGACTGCTATGACCTGAGCGGTGGGCGGAAAGCTTTCCTCATGTGTGTGAAGAAAAACAGGCCTGGGGCTCAGCAGGACATCAACCTGATGAAGGAGTGGCTTGGCCAGTGCCAGTTCGAACAGACATCCTGCATTGATCCTGATAAAAGGGTAACAAATTTTTTTTTTTTTTTTTAATAGAGGCATGTTTTCTTTCTTTCTTTCTTTCTTTCTTTGTTTTGTTTATACATGCACTGGGTACAGTCAGAAGCGCAGGAGGGTGAGAGAATTCACCAGAGCCAGAGCGGGGAGCAGAACAGGCAGAAGGACCGAAGTACACTGCTGAGGGGAGCAGCGGGCGGCAGGAGAGGTCTGCGCGCCATGCGGGACCCTCCTCCGGTGGCCGGGAAGCAGCCGGGGATCGAACCGGCGCCGCAGAGGCCGCGGGCAGCTTCACAACCCAGCGCTCAACCGCTGCGCCACCGGGGAGGCCCAAAAGGGTAACAAATTAATACCCAAAGTGATAAATTGTAGCTTGTATTATATAGCTTTTTTTTTTTTTAAGAAAAAAAACCCAAAAAACTGGGTTTTAGTACCTAGGGACTACTAGGATCTACTGAGCCATGGTGTGTATGTCCTGGTGAAATTCTTCCTTAGCTTACCTGTTCCATGCAAATACTTTTTTTTTAAGATTTATTTATTTGTGCATACAGTAGCTGGGGTACAGGCCAGAGATATAGGGGGTGAGAGGATTCACCAGAGATAGAGTGGGGAACAGAACAGGCAGACTGACTGAAATACACTGCTGAGGGGATCAGCGGGTGAGTCAGGAGAGGTCTGCTGCGCCATGTGGGTTGCTCCCTAGCCAGCTGGGGATCGAACTCATGCTGCAGAAGTTGCAGACTGCTTCATAGTGCAGTGCTTAACCCCTTGTGCCACCAGGGAGGCTCCATGCAAATACTTTTGTGATCTTAAGCATAAGATTGTTTTTCCTTTGCTAAAAAATAAGTATATAAGACCAGCTTCCCTTCCAGACAAGCAGGGTCCTCTTGGGCTTCAGTCAAGGAGAGGGGTGTGCAGTTGAAGAGAAAGAGGGAACCTAAAAAGGTGTCCTAAGCAAGGTAAGCCAGGAGGCCCAAGAACAAGCTGTGAGTCCAGAAAGGGCAAGGTCCAGAGCATCTGGGAGATGGGAAACAGCTTTGAGATCAGCAGACAGCCCGGCCAGAGGGATTCCAGAAGCATTGGAACCAAGGGGCTTTGAAAAGTCTTTGTGGTACTTGGAATCCTGTGTAGGGTGGATTGAGGAGACAAAGCCTGGGACAGATGTCTGTGGTGACTTAACTAGATGACACAGAAAAAGGAAAGAAGAGGGTGATGAGTGGGAACTCTATTTTCATCTCTCTGATCCTAGCTAAAATGCTTGGCCTAGCCCTGCCCTTGTTTGGGAATAATAACATAGGAAAGCCCTTCATAGATACTAAGGGCAACACTAATGAGTGCCCAGGAGCAGAAGTGCTCTGAGTGCAGCCTGCACTGCAGAACTGGAATCCTGTCTTACTAGTTGTGTTACCTTGAATCGAATTCTCAACAGAGGGTGATTTTGGCCCCCTGAGCACATCTGGCCGTGTCAGAGACATTTTTGGGTGTCACACCTGAGAGGGTGCTGCTTGGCATCAAGCAGCATCATGATGCTGCTGAGCACCCTGCATTGCCCAGTACAGGCCCCCATAGCAAAGAATTCTCCAATCCTGCATGTCAGTAGTATAATCATTTTAGAAACCTAACCTTAAACTAATTGACTACTTATTTCTAAAATAGGGGGTGGTGGGCCTCCCTGGTGGCACAAGGGGTTGCAAGCACAGCACTGTGAAGCTATCCGCAGCCATTGCAGCATGAGTTCGATCCCTGGCCAGGGAGCTACCCACATGGTGCAGCAGACCTCTCCTGTCTCACCCGCTGCTCCCCTCAGCAGTGTATTTCAGTCAGTCTGCCTGTTCTGTTCCCCACTCTGTCTCTGCTGAATCCTCTCATCCCTTGCTCCTCTGGCCTGTATCCCAGTTTTTGTATGCATAAATAAAAAAAATCTTTAAAAAAAATAAAATGGGGGGTGGTGACAGTACTTATAGGGCCGTGGTGAGGATGAAATGAGCTTTTATGTGTAAAAGTTCTTGGGCTAGTAGCTGATTTGTAGTAAGCACTCAATAAAGTTTGATTTTTTAAAAAAATTATTTGTTTGATTGTGAAAAACAGACTCCTTCATTTCCCCCAGGGATTATATGCCAGATAAGCGTGGAATGTAGATCTTGGTAAGGTAATCTTGTGTCTAGTCAACTGGCTCTTCTCTAGTTTGAAGTTTTTTGTTGATTATTCAGTGTCTCTAAATAGCCATCTATAAATAAAGAACTTTGTCTCCTTGTTTCCAATACGCTATTGAAGTGCTGGGATGTCTTTTGGGGGTAGCATGAGCGGAGCAGAGCCCGGGCAGTCCCGCCTCTCTGTAGTGAGCCTGATTATGATGACACCTGACGGGGCCAGGAGGGGTGTACATTGTGTTAATTCCTGCATTCTCCTCCATCTCTAGCTTACTGAGGACATTCACTTTATGAAATAATTTCTATGTATTAAAATAAATGTTAGAAAATGTAAGTACATTCGTCCTTGGGATAGGGATATTCCAGAATTCTGTTGAATTTTGTGGTAGAGATTCAGAAATTCCCCAATTTTCTCAAATACGAGCCAGGAAATCAGACCAGTTCTGAGAGCAACTGAAAGGGAAGTGGCAGTGTTGACCCAGAGTCTGAGACGTAGGTTCCTTTACATTTGCTAGTAATGGGGCCATCTCAGGCATTTCTGATATTTTCCTACCTCTAGTTCTTTTTAACATTATCCTATTTTACAGGAGTTACTTGGACAAATAACATCATTTCGTGATGGTCTAAATGAAAATAAAGGTGAAATTGGCTGTTGCCTTGTTACTCTTATGTCCCATGGAGAAAAAGGCTTTATTAAAATGAAAGATGGTGAAAAAGTCAGTTTGGAAGACATTTTTGAGATGTTTAACAATAAAAATTGTCCGGCACTTCAAGAGAAACCAAAAATCTTTATAATCCAGGCATGCAGAGGAGGTAAGAGATTTCTCTGTAATAAACTTGTTTCTAGGAAATTCCCACATTGATTGAGAAAAATAAGTTGATATATTTATTTATTTATACAAGAACCGGGGTACAAGCCAGATGCATGGGAGGGTGAGAGGATTCACCAGAGGCAGAGTGGGAAACAGAACAGGCAGACTGATGAAATATACTGCTGAGGGGAGCAGCGGGTGCGACAGGAGAGGTCTGCCTCACCATCCCTCACCGGCAAGTGGGGATCGTATTCGCGCTGCAGAGGCTGCAGACAGCTTCACAGTGCTGCGCTCAGCCGCCTGTGCCACCAGGGGAGGCCTGATATATTTATTTTAAATTAGAGCACCTTAGCTGTTGTAATCTTAAGAAATTCAGCTGGGACAAAAAGATGGAAGGAAAACTTCCCTGTGCTAGGATAGTTAAGTTACGCTGAGGAAGGTCCAAATCATTAACTTCAGAAGGTAAATCAGGGACCCTCAAGTGCTAAGAGGCAGGTGTGCACTTTCCAATGGCTGTACACCATCCATGTGATTTCCACATGTCTTAAACCTGACTAAAACCTGACTTAGGTTGCTCTTTTGGCTGTATCTCTTGTGGAGATACAAGCTTCCTATGACACCTCTTAAGGGCTACCAGAATCAGTGGTACATTATTGTATTTGTATTTTCATTCCTCAAAAACAGACAAAAGAGATAGTGGTGTGGAAACGGATGATGAGCCCTTAGACACTGATGACATATCTGAGAAGGGGAGGCTGCCTACGTTCAGCGACTATTTTATCATCTATCCCACCCAGCCAGGTAAGACAGGAGAGCAGATGACATGAGATACACATTCTTCTAAGGGTTTAGGTTATTCTAGATGATTTAAAAGTTCTGTTAAGAAAATTATTTGTGCCTGCAAATCAATGTATATAAGGAGAAATTATCATTAACACACCCATGTTTCTTCAATAAATATTTCTAGTTTTTAATGGCAGCTTGGCATCTCATTCTTTATTTCTTCCAAGAAGACAGAGACTAACCTCTTAGCAAAGTATCACATAATAAATATGATCATTGACTCTCACACGAAAAAGATGGCTTAAAAGTTCACTCAGGCATTTGCTATCTGTGAGGCCTTCAGTGCTTTTTAGCCTCTCTATATGTCAATTTCTGCATTTAAAACCAGAATGATAAAATTTAGGATGTTATATATTAATTAAATTATGTAATACAGACGTGCTCATCATAATAACTGGGATAGTAAATATGAAACAATTGCTGCCATTATTACTAGTATATGTGCTATAACATTATTACCATTACAATTACCAGTACCATAGTTAAGTTCAAAAAGAGTCTTGTATGCTGACGGAGTGGACTTGATTCATTTATGAGGGGAAACAGTAATATGCAGGGAAGATAGAAGTAAACAGTCAAGGGCATTTATTTAGGTGCTTTTACCTGTCTTCAAAAGGATTAATTAATTGGTTGTGTACGTGTCTGTGATGGCCTTAGACACCCTCCTGCCAGTGCGAGAGTGTTTTTGTATTCTCTCTTTTAAAGCCATTTTCTAAGATTTAACTATGAGCAAAAGGAAACATTGGGCACACATAAGGAAGAAAAATAGGTGAAATGTTTTTGTTTTCCTTTGGTAGATCATGTGGCTTTACGGCACCCCAGCACTGGGTCTGTGATGATTGAAGCAATGACTGAAGTTTATAAGAAGTATGGAAATAAGTGGCACATTGCTGACTTTTTCACAAGAGTGAGTAAACTCCAAGTGAGCAGGGGCTCCATTCATGCTAAAGCTAATGCACCTGATGCGAGTGTTTTCAAAGATTAACTTTCACCAGGGGAACACTGCGCTAAAATGTCCCGTGAGAATTGTGGGCTGATCATAAGTGACAGCTCTATCAACATTTATTGCATTGCTCGCTCTGCCAGTCACTGTTCCCTGCACTGTACAGATATTCATTCATTTAAAGCTCCATCACCCAGCAGGTAGGTTCTGGGGTTCACATCCCTGTTAGAGCAGGAGAGCTGGTAGGTGGCGGAGTTGGCATTCCTGCCCAGACAGAGAGCTTCGAGAGTTCATGCCCTCACCACAATTATTTATAAGCTACTTCTCGCCTCCCAAGGAATGGTAATTTGCTATTTCCTTAAAAAAAAAAAAAATGTTAATACCTTGTGATGCTTAACAGCTCTCAGAACTTTCACCTCAGTAGAGGTAACCTTTGGTGGGGGTGAGGGGGTGTTACAGGGAGGGAATGTAGACAGTTTTGACCGTCATCCCAGCCAAATTCTCAAAAATCTTTTCCTGCTGAACTTCTCTCTTCAAGAAAAAGTTTATCAGTTTCTCAGAAGTTTGTAATAATAAAGACAATTTAACCAGCTGCAATTAGAAATCCATCTTAGCTAATGCTAAGTGAAAACTTGTTTTGCTAACCTGAAATTCAGGAGGTCTTCACTGAACACCCGTCATTTGTAAAACTTGCAGAATAGATGCTGGAAAAAGAGGTCCAAAAATGAGCATGAAAGGGCCTTTGAAGGCACGTTCAGCTAGTGAGATAGTGGGGGACTGCTGTGCGCACCCCCAGTCCTGAAAGGGCAGAGCTGTGGGATGCTTGGGAAGCCAACCCTACCATTTTATCAAAGCCCAGAAAGGGTTCCTGTTTGGCCTAATATTACTCAGGGGCAAGTGCAAACTAAACCCAGGTCTGTGGACTCCTGAAGCCAGGGCACCTTCATCCCACAGCGCTTGTATTCCAAGCCCGTAGTGGTGCATGCTCTTGGCTTTTTGTTTGTTCGTTTGGTATGTATTATTTATTTATTTATTCTGGAGGGGCGTGCACTTTAGAATGATGTTTTCAGTACTTGAATTCTGCTGTCTCATTCTGTGGGGCTCATTGAGAGCCTTTTGCTAAGGTCTTCACATTCTTCTGTGTGGTTTGTGCTTTTATTTTACAGGTGAATAACAGAGTGGTGCACACTGTGTATCATCTACATGAGAAGCCAGTAAAAGTATCACTTGTCATGGAATCAACTTTAACTAAATCTGTGTACTTCTGATACCCGGAAGGTTGAAAAATATGGGCTGCTTTATAATAGACTTTGTGAAGCTGGAAGATGGAGCTGATAGAGATGGTTTTGTATTATTTCTGTCACTAGTTGTGTTTTTCCAATTTGTTTTGGGAGTGTATATATATATATACATAGTCATTTTTCTAAGATTTATAATGTCTACTTGATACTTATAACTAATTTGACTTCTTTTGAAAGATGATTTTTTTCTGAAAATTGTTCTTCCTGAACCATTAACAGAACACAGACAGCGCCACTTGCACACATGTTTATCCTGTACTTTTCTTGATTATACCCCACCGTCTCCCACTCTGTTTGGTACTGGTGTTAAGCCTTATTTTGTTGGCTTAGTATTCAAGAACTGTCTTGACAATGATCTTTTCCTGTTTCACCACTGCAGCCAGACTGATCTTCTTTTTGACTGTGTAAGCCACCCCAGAGTCTTACCTGAGTTTCTGTGCTTGTACTTACACCCTTGATGCCTTATGTTTTCACCTTCCTCCCATTTCCCAGCTTCCTCCTTACCATTCCAGTACCTTTGAGCCACTGGCTTCTGTGCTGGAAACTATGTTCCATCCCTTATGAGTAAGACCTTTCTGTCCTTCAGAGTTCCATTCAATTGACATTTGCACAGAAAAGCTTTCCATATCCTCTTGCTAGTGTTCAGAGACCCTATGCATTTTAATTGGTAGCATTTAGCACTACTGTACTTAAATGACTGTATAGAGACTGTTTAATCTCTCTCTCTCCAGTTCAAGTGTAAGCTCCAAGAGGCAGAGGCCACATGTCTTGTTCACTGCTGTAGTCCAGCTCCCATCTGTGTCTTCAGACACAGAGAAACCTTGTGATGAATGTTCAGCAAGTGATCCTGTCTTTTCATTATTTTATCCATTCCTCAGACCTCTGTATATATCTAGACACCTGCTAATCATTCCTACCTTCTTGGATGTCCCACGTACACTTTAACTCAATAAGTTGCAAGTTAACCTGAGTTTCCCCTAAATCTTTTCATAAAATCCATCCCATGGTTAATAATCCTTTATTATGAGTTCCCACTGCCTACAGAATATACCCACATTCTCTTTTTGGAGAATAGTCCAAATTCTTGCCAGGCATTCACCTATACTACCTGCATAACTGCCTCTTTATCCTGGGTCTTGGCCACATCAGATGATGTCCCTTCCTTCAAGAATCACCTCCTAGAATCAGGCAGTGGATCAGTGAATGTTGAAAGAATGTGGCTGTGGTACATTGTTCACTCTGTCCTTTCTGCCTGAAGCACCCTTTGTTCTTACCCTGTGCTTCCTCTATGCCACACACTCTTCAGGGTGCAGCTTGGGTCCCATCCCACAAGGAAGACACCCTGTATGCAAACCACCGATTTTAGAGGAATCAACTGTGGACAGATTGTGAATTTTAATTCTAATTGTGTTCTAATTTTTCTGTGTAACTTTGCCTGTGTAATTCTTTTTTTTTTTTTTTTTTTTTTTTTTTTGCCTGTGTAATTCTAACCTATGTTTCCCACCTGTATAAAAGGAGCTTTGGCTCTGCTGACTGTCAGAACTCATCCTGCTGGACTTCAGTGAACATTGACTTCCTAGTGAATTTGCTTATGAGCATCCTATAGATGTGGCTGTTCCTGAACCAATGGGTTCAAGCTGGCAGTTGCATAAGGCTACTGGGCCTGTGTGAAAATGCAGGTGTTTGGTGAGAATGCTGTAAAGATTGAGGCCACATTGACTGAAGCAGCCTTCTGTCTCTAGGCCTGTCTTCATATCAGGGATAATTGTGTCCTTTTTGTGACATCTTAAAATATATGTGATTTAATTTTTAAATCTTTGAGTTCTGATACCTGATATGTAAGGTTTTTTATTATTAAAATATCTGCTTGTTTAATAAAATATACATGAGCCTTTTCTGTTCATTTGCATCCAAGAGATTTCTAAGCACAGGGACTGGTTTCAGGGTAACAGCAGTAGCTGAAATATTAACAGCTCTTATTTCCTGGGATGGTTAAATAACTTGTTCAGAGTCACAGTCTTCTTATGCTGAAGTTGGGATTCCAATGTATGAATTAATAGAAGGCACAAAGTGTCAATAATGGAGCAAAGTTATAAGACAAAATAGTTTCATGAATAGGAGAGGCCATACCTTTTAACTGAGGAAATGAGAGCTTTGGGACAAAAAAGGGAAAAGTTATTTTGGAATATTTCTCAGGCCACTGCAGGTAAGCTCCTTATAGGACAACACATCAGACAGTGAAGAGGAGCCACAAGGAAGTCTGGCTAGGAAGGGAGGCAGAAAGGTACCCAAGATGAATGCATGCTTGTGCGCATATTCTGTTTCAATCAAAACAGAGGCTTTCCTAGGCACCCAATGCCATGGAAAGCGTGCCCGCCCCCCCCTAAAACTTAGTCCCTAGGTATTGTATATTTGAAAAAAAAATTTTTTTAAGCCCAGTTTTATTTTTTAAATGTAAATCCCAGACGTCAGAATTTGCAAAAGGAAGGTTCTGGGGCTTTTATCTCAAGTGGACATGAATAAAGCAGAAATTTGTGCAGAGGCTCAGCAGGCTTTGACAAGAACCTCTTGGGCCAAAGCTCCTCACCCTGGTTTACCTCGACTACAGTTTGGTTTTCATTTTTAGACTTTTCTCAATTCATTTTCTCAACAAGGATTTTCATCATGCAGCTGAGTTGGGAGGACAAAGTTATTTTGTGGGGGGATATCTTACTATTTTGTGGAGAAACAAACGCCTAAACATAATTACAATTATTGTTATTAATGAAAAGTATTCTTCAGATTCCACGGTGGGCAGAGGAAGGAGCTACCATGGTTGGGGCTTGTCCCCGAAGACCCTTCCACAGAGAAGTGCTGCTGTGATAGAAAGTGCCATAAAAACAAGTCATTGTTTTCATGCAACTTTTTTTTTTTTTAAAGATTTATTTTTATTTATTTATTTATGCAAGCACTGGGTACAGTCAGAAGCGCGGGAGGGTGAGAGAATTCACCAGAGCCAGAGCGGGGAGCAGAGCAGGCAGAAGGACCGAAGTACACTGCTGAGGGGAGCAGCGGGCGGCAGGAGAGGTCTGCGCGCCATGTGGGACCCTCCTCCGGTGGCCGGGGAGCAGCCGGGGATTGAACCGGCGCTGCAGAGGCTGCGGGCAGCTTCACAACCCAGCGTTCAACTGCTGCGCCACCGGGGAGGCCCTCATGCAACTTTTTTAAAAAATCGAATATCCTTGATTTGATGTTGGCTAGTTTAGAATTATGCAGAGGGCTTCAATTTATTATTATTTTTTAAATCGCCCTGGTTCAATTTTTCTTAATGACTGTATAGTATTATGCTGGGCTAAATATTTCCTATTGATGGATAACACAATTTTTCTTCAACAACAAAAATTCTTTCAAATATAGCATCTGTGCAGCCTTGTCCTGTTGATTTTCCCGGGAAGAATTCCTGCAGGTGGGCTGAGGAACTACCAAACTGCCCTCCAAGAAATGAAAAAAATTTCTGCAGCTCTGGTTTATCACTTGGGCTGGTGGAGCGCGACGCTCCCTCCCACGTTCCGCAGACGCGGCTTGGGCTAGGGACCCGCTCGAGTCCACGGGTGCACAGGGCTGGGAAACCGCTCCAGCGGCGCGAGGCTGGCTGGCTGCGGGCCCCACGCCCCGCACTGGAGCGACAGCAGCAGCCGCCGCGTGGCCCGGAAGGGCCCCCAAAAGCCCCTAAACCGGAAGCTGCCTCGCTCGAACTGGGCTCCGCCTACCGCTGTGGCCCCCTCGTCTGCGCCGGCGCCGCAGGCCCGCCCTTCCGGAAGGAACAGGCCCGCCCCGCCCCGCTCCCCTCCGGATCCGCCCTTCTTCCACCCGCCTTTCGTTTTCATTGGCTGGCGGTGGGGTATATAAGAACGTCACTTCCGCCCTCCGCTCCTTTCCGCGCTGCCCAGAGAGGGGTCCATACGGCGTTGTTCTGGGTGAGTCCGCTGCGGTGGCTTCTGCGCCCCCAGGGCCGCCAGAAAGCGCTCCTTGCTCAAGTGAGGACTTCGAGAACCGAGGATGAAGAGCCGTAGATGGAGCGAAGCTGTCCCCGCCGGCTGGGGCCTCCCGCCGGCCCGCACGTGGCCCAGCGCGGGCCGCGGCTCCCACAATGCCCCGGGAGGTCGCGCCGGAACGGAGGCCGGGGCCGGGGCCGGGGCCGGGGGTGGGGGTCGGGGGAGTCGGGGGGAGTCGGGGTCCCGGCTGCGGGCCCCGCAGAGGACCAGGCGCCACTTGGTTTTCCCCGTTCCGGTTAAGGGTTTGAGGAAAACAGTGACCGAAGGGAGAAGTTATTCCGTAGCCCCCACTTACCTGCTTGGAAGTGAAGTTGCTCTCCTGTCCGCTGTCTTGGCTCAATTTATGCATGTTCTGGTTTGCTCATCCATCGCTGTTGCTGTTGTGCATCTTAAGTGTTAAGTCTCTGCACGATTTTCGTTTATTTAGCGAGGGGTTTAGCTCATTTGCGCACACTTGGATCATTTGCTGTCCCTTGCTAAGTGTGTCGTCCTGCCCGAGTGAGCTCAGTGCCCGACACAGAAGGTAGTAGTTCTTACTTGAACTTTGATGAGAAGTTGCTTGCCTCCATTCGTTATAATGCACCTGTTCCCCCTGCCTCATATATGTCACTGGAATGAAAAGGACTAGATCGGCTATTGCTTTTCAGGTTCCCGTCGTAACTTAAAGGGGAAACTTTCACAATGTCCGGAGCCCTCGATGTCCTGCAAATGAAGGAGGAGGATGTCCTCAAATTCCTTGCAGCAGGAACCCACTTAGGTGGCACCAATCTTGACTTCCAGATGGAACAGTACATCTACAAAAGGAAAAGTGATGGTCAGTGAGTACTTCATTTTTGCCATTCTAGTTGTATTCGTAAGGCAAAATTTGGTGGTAGTGTGCTTAACGCTGGGAGAACTAATGCTGGATTGTCTTGCAGTTTCCCTAATAAGTAATGAAACCAGATTTCAGGGTTGGAAGTAAGCTTAGAATCTAAGGACTTAGTGTTCTGGTTTTTGGAAGGAAAGATGGACAAGTGGCAGTTACTATGTTACGGAATTTGGGTTGGGTTGTGAGGGAAGCTCAGTTTCTGATTGCTTATCTTTCATGGGTACTGATTTTTCATGGGTACTGATACAGGTTTGCTGTGAAGAAAGAGTAGGAGATGGGAGTAAACAATTTGATATAGATAAGGGAGGATAGACTGTGACAAGGATATGGAAGGTATTAAGAATGGCAAGAGGCCAGGAAAATGGGTAGGAATTGTGGGAATCCAAATGGGGGCCTGATAGTTGATTCTGTGAAAAAGAAGATAAGTTTTGCCTACAGAGTCAAAGCTGCACACTATTAAAGCTCAGGTTGGAGGCCAGTTTTGGCCAGTGAGCTCCTGAGTGTCGGAAGTGTGCTACATTAACTGCAGGATTTTCGCTGACACCAGTAGAGCTTGCCTCTATGACTGGCGTTTGATAGTACTCACTGCCACATTCAGCTTTGTAGAATGGTGTCCATTTCCAATACTAGGTCAAATGTTTAAGCCTTATACTGTCACCTAGGCATCTATATCATAAATTTGAAGAGAACCTGGGAGAAGCTCCTGCTGGCAGCTCGTGCCATTGTTGCCATTGAAAATCCGGCTGATGTCAGTGTCATATCGTCCAGGAACACTGGCCAGGTTTGTAGAACAATACACTTAGTTTTTATTATAAATAATAAAGCTTGTTAAATATTTTGGTGTATATAGGAAAGTACAAGAAAACAAAAACTAGTCCATAATTTCATTGTTCAGAAATCTTGAATTGCCAGTCTTTGGCATTTTCAGCATATATATCATGTAGCACCTGATGGTATAACTTAAATTTTCTATGTGTTTTCTTGTGTCACCAAATACCAAGAAATGTTCCTGTTAAAAAACATGCGCCTCATATTTTTCTGTAGCCAAGATTTTTCATATTTCAAATGAAAGTGCTCACTGGGTACTAGGTGCTGTTCATTGTCAAGCTGCTTTAATTTTCACAACCCTGTGAAAGACTGGGAGGCATGTGGGTAACTTTGACAAGGCACTCACCTGCTTGGTACTTGGACCTGGGCAGTGTGGATCTGGAGCCTCCAAAAACGAGAAAGCCAGGGAGGGGGCCACTGACGCCAGAGTCTGTCAAGGAGTAGGCATAGCCCATGGGAAGAGAGCCTGTGGTTGGGGATCATGCTTACTGTGTTTCTTAGCTCTAGTTTAAATAATTTCCAGGGAAGACATAGAATTACTGGGTGGTTACAAGTGTTTAATTTGGTGCTTTCGTTTTTGAAAAAGGAATATTTAAGGGTTTCAACCCGATAGGCTACTTGGTGTGAACACATACCTGGGATTCAGCACATTTACACAAGTGGAGTTGCTGTGACTCTACCTCTGGAGAGTAGCTGACTTTTCTGTTCATTCTCCAGCGAGCTGTGCTAAAGTTTGCTGCTGCCACTGGAGCCACTCCTATTGCTGGCCGCTTCACTCCTGGAACCTTCACTAACCAGATCCAGGCAGCTTTCCGGGAGCCAAGACTTTTGGTGGTTACCGATCCCAGGGCTGACCACCAGCCTCTCACAGAGGCATCCTACGTTAACCTGCCTACCATTGCTCTGTGTAACACAGACTCTCCTCTGCGCTATGTGGACATTGCCATCCCCTGCAACAATAAGGTAACAGTTTTATGCTCCTGAGCTTGAGAATCTGCTCTAGAAACAATTGGGCATTCCTCTGCACATTGTTAGAGCTTGGAGTTGAGGCCACTGGCCGATGAACTCACAAGTGTAGGTAGTGTGCTACACGAGGGGCAAGTTTTTTACTAACGCCACAAGGGTCTTGGCCCAATGAGTGGAGGTTTTGATAATCCTTGCTACAAGTACAATTCTAATGTATGAGAACTTTTAAGTAGTGATGAAATCTTTTGAAGAATAGCTTGTGTTTTCTGCTCTTCATATTTCTTGGCTCTGTATGGGCCTCAGGCACCACTTGACCTTTCTGTTTTCAGACTAACTTGATCCTGCTTTAACAGCCTGAAAAGGTGGGTTGCATATGGTTCAAATTGATCTAGCTTATCACTGGTCTCAAAACCCTGATTCCACAAAAGAATCACCCCTAAGGAGCTTGTTTAAATACCAGCATCCCTGCACTAATTCAGGGATATCATTTCATTGCCTTTTGTGATGGTGTCTTGACAATTTTTTTTTTAAATCGTTATGGTTCAAGTGTACAATCAAAGTTGAGAATCAGACTTAGTCTTCCTTGGTACCAGGTACTTGGATGATAAGGGCGCAGGTTAGACATGGGGAGGTGCTGTTTGGGGCTGGCTAGTGTCCCATGTTAATAACCTGGCCCTCTTGCAGGGAGCTCACTCAGTGGGTCTCATGTGGTGGATGCTGGCCCGGGAAGTTCTGCGCATGCGTGGCACCATCTCCCGTGAACACCCTTGGGAGGTCATGCCTGATCTCTACTTCTACAGGGATCCTGAAGAGGTGAGCTTCCTCTACAAAGGCTTGTGATCACATAAGCAAACTGGTCTGTAAATTTGTCAATCCTTATAAACATTTTCTTTCTTACTAGATTGAAAAGGAAGAGCAGGCTGCTGCTGAAAAGGCTGTGACCAAGGAGGAATTTCAGGGCGAATGGACGGCTCCAGCTCCTGAGTTTACTGCTACTCAGCCTGAAGTGGCAGACTGGTCTGAAGGCGTGCAGGTGCCCTCTGTACCTATCCAGCAGTTCCCTACTGGTAAGTATCATGATAAAAGTAAGTGGTTGGCAGTTTGGAACTTAGTCTCCATGCTTGTATGTGGCAGCCTTAAAGGGTTTCCAGCCCAGGGGGCTGTCGTTTGGCTTGTTAGTTTATAAATCATTTGCTTTTGAAATGTCCTGATCTTGGTTGTTGTCCTTTTAGATGTGTTTCTAATGGAAAGGTGGTAGGGATGGGGTGACAGATAGACTAGTTTGGGAATGGAGCTTAAGGTTTTTTTTTGTGTTTTCTTAACAGAAGACTGGAGCGCCCAGCCTGCCACTGAAGACTGGTCTGCAGCTCCCACTGCTCAAGCCACTGAGTGGGTGGGAACAACCACTGAGTGGTCTTAAGCTGTTCTTCCAGAGACTTGAACAGAAAGTGGAAATAAGGTTAATGGAAAATAAACAGTTTGTAAAAGTTGTGTCTATTTCAGTTTATTCTAGATCTGAAAATAAATGTAATATGTACACACAGAAAGTAACCCTAGAAATATTTTTCCAAGGCCCATTAGTATCTGCATTGGTAAGTTCTATAATTTCAGATTTGAGTCTATTTCGCTTAAGTTTGCCAGTTGTGTGGCCATTGCATGAGTAAATCTTATGGCAGCTACAGATCTGCTTTGGAAAAAGATAGGTTGTAGTTTTTCCTGGAGGAGCCAAGGCCTTCCCCGTTTTTGTCTTCAGGTCTGTGAGGGGTGTACAAGAAGCAGTGTTTCGTGCTGTGTTAACAGTGCTGTTTGCCATTTTATATGCATTTTATATGCATCAAACTCTTCCCTGAGATGATTTCACAATAACGGCCTACTGAAAAAGAATGCAGCAATTGTGAGTGGATCTGTTTTGAGGAACCTGAATGGTTTATATTCCTACCTTACTCCCTTTGGAAATGTACAAAATGCCCATGTGACCACATTCCCTTGGCCCATTTCTGGGGTGCTAAGGTTGTGAGGGCACTCCCACAGCTCAAACATCCTCATGGTTAATATCGTAAAAACCCTGTCATCCCTGGTTTGACACCACCTGGAGACTCAGACATTGCCTAGCCCATCTTCATGAACCTAACGCCCTTTCCCCACTCCCACTTCTAGGATCCCACCGAGACCTTGCTGCCTTCCCCTTTACCCTTTGCTGTGGTATTATCCTTTGACAAGGATGCTCTGTTGGAAACCAGATCCACTTTCATGAGTTTGGCTTGCCCAGGCTCTCAATTGCCCCGGGTTAGCTGCTGTTTTGTCCCAAGCAGGGCAGCTACCCTGAGGACACCCAACTGGGCCCAGGGCAGCACAGCCAGCACCCTTGAACTGGAATAGGCATCTTACACTTGCCAGTCCAAACCTCATTTTGCTCTGGCTGCTTGTGGTCTGTAAAGCACCATTTTGTGATGTTTATCCTGTCTCTGTACTGTGAAACAGCAACTTCCCCCACAAGTGTTAGTATAGTACTCCAGGATTTGCTATTGGCCACTCCGTAGCATGAGACCATGATTAAAACATGGTTCTCAAACACCATTTGGTTGCAGTGAGCTGCCTGTCACCCACCCCCAACCCCCAGCACCTCTCTTCATTCAGGAAATGCTAATGCCTCATACTTGAAAAGGTCTTGCTGTGAATAATACATGGCCAGGATTTTTAAATTTTTATTTTATTGGAGAAAGAACGTGTCATAAGAGATTTGTTCATTCACAATTACCAGCTCCGTGCATTTGTGGGGCTTTGTCTTCAAAGCTTCTAGGAACTTCTAAGCTAAAACAGCTTAAAGAAACTGAATCCCATACAGAACTTTGTAAAGATCCCCCTTTCTTGCCCTTTCCTAAGTACATTAGGAGCTGCTTCCATGGGAGGGGGCGACAAGCATATATTTTCCGAATACATCCCTTGTACAAGGTCCATTAATACCAGAATCAGAATCCCTATTGAAATCAGCCTAATAGAGAACCTGGCACTTGGTACATTGGTACTACTAAGTACTTGTGAATAAAGTGGTTAAGAATAATGTTGGAGACAATAAGTATTTAGGAAAGAGCTGGGGAGGTAAATTGCATTTAGCAATGAGAGTTGAGGTGCCCATTCTTGGACACAGCTCACTTCACGGGGGTTTGTGCCACTGGCTTTCAACTTCAGGATGTTGTACATCCTCTGCATCAAAGTTGCAGGCTCACTGGGTATTCGGAGGACATGCTGCACTCTGAAGGTTCCCTGGGGTTGTCGTCAGGTGAGTATGGGTGATACTGGGTCTAGTGTGGGCCGTGGTCCACATATCAGGCGGTCTGTGTGGGGCTCTGGCTATTGTAATACTGCTGACGAGCTGCACAGTGAGACAGACAGAGTCTGGGCTTTGGAATCAGACGTGTCCTGCCCAGCCCATACCAAGTGTGTGGTTCTGGGCAAGAGAAGATGTCTCCAACTCCCCAAGTGTCTTCACCATCAAACAGGGATAATCATGGAGCTGTTGTGATTCAGGGATTGCTGTGCACAGTAATTAGCCTGGGTCTGGCATGTAGCAAGTGCGCATTCTCTATCACGTTATCTGGGTACAGTACCATTAAAATTTAAAATGCATCATACATGCAGATGATGACAGACATCTGTGTATTCCAGAATTGAGTTAGAGCATCTAGCCATCGTGCATATTTTGAAATGGAAAGGAGCCCTCTCTGAAGTCACAGAACTCCTGCAATCCCTTGATGGTTTGACTGATTTACCTAACAATTTCCTTCCAATCAAGAATTGTTGAGCTGCCGTTTGGTTTTGAGCTTCCTACAAATGGAATCATAGCATATCTTCTTGTGTGGCGTGTTTCTTCCCCTCCATGTTATGTTTGTTCTTTCCATTGCTAGTTGCCCAGCCAATTCTAAGCCTGCATAGTCATACATCCATGAGCCACAGTCACCACTTGGGTTGTTCCTACAATCTCCCATTTGCAGGTTTTAAACTAACTCCACCAGTTAACAAACTTTCACAGCCACACACAAAATCCTGTGAAAACAGCCACAAGCCTCAGCACTTTCTGTTGAAAACACTGTCTTTTCTTCACTGCTCAGAATTGCTGCTGCAAAATTCCAAGGTCCATCCAGGTAGAGTCTGGTCCGGCCTCTATTCTCCCTCCCCTGCTCTATGAGTCTGCCCCTGAGCCAATGCTACACTGTCCTCCTTCCTGCAGTTTTAGAAACTGTGGCAAGGGGTAAGGCATTCCTCCTACCTTCCTCCTCTTCAAGAGAGTCTTGGCTATTACTCATCTTTTTACATTGTCCCATTTTTCAGCCAACCAGTACAGTTGGGGTTGGACTCGATTATTTAGAGCAGTAACAACTGACGGGCAGTATCGAGTTTTCCATCCATGAACAGTCTATATATCTTACCAGTTTCTCCTATTTATGCCCCTCTCTCAATAACATTTTAAATTTTTGCCAGAGGTTTTATGTTTCTTTTGATAAACTTATTCTTGCTTTTGATAAGCAAGAGATATTTTAAATGTTACGCTTTTAAGACACTACTATAAGGGATCCTGTTGGAACAGCTCAACCCATGTTCTAAATCAGATTTCCAATAGTAAATGTCAGTATTGCCTCAGTAATCCAGACCTTTTATGCAAGTCAGAGATGAGGTCATTAAATTCCATGAAAAACCTGCTCCAAACCAACATGCCAAACATTGGACCCATTTAGTAGAGAAGAGCCTGCTACAGTTCTACAGATGCTAAGTTCAGGGATTTCACTTAGGAATGATCTAAGAATGATCCAATTCTACCTTTGCAAAGAAAAGTAAAATTAAGAATTCAACAAATATTTATTAAGCACTTACTCTGGACCAGACACTATTCTGTGTTCTGGGTATAGAGCAGTGGATGGAAACCAAGCTTGTGACCTCCAGCCGTTGGATTTTGAATGGGGAGGCAAATAACTTATGGGTTAACAAGTAACCTTTTTAGCAAGACGGAAGTGAGGATGAGAGAAACACTAAGCTTGTATAAAGCAAGAACCATTGGTATCAGGGTAGAAGAAAGACACAAAGGAAAAGAATCATTGGGGAGAATCACAAGAGAGCAAAGAAATCCCTCTGGAAGGAGCAGTGTCAGACCAGCCTCATCAAGTGGAGCTGAGAGGGGTTCTATCCTCATGGGGAGCTGGGGATCTTGACCAGAAGCCATGGAGTTTCTTGAAGCCCATGTCATGTGAAGGGTGCAGACCTCCACTGCCCAACCCGTGGAAAACTCACCTAAGTTTTCTTTTAGCTATCTCTGGAAATGAGTCGGAACCAGGAAAGGCTGTATCTGCAGTCATCGACTGCAGTTCTCCCTACTGTGCCCTCAGAGGAAGACAATGGCCCAAGGGGCACTCTTCCCTCTCCGAGTGGCTGTCTCAGTTCACATGCGTGCAAAGAGCCCCAGCACTGTCAGAAGTAACAAGTGTTATCATGTCCCCACTGTCAGGCCCTTACCATCTCTTTAGCCATGGACCTTGGTGTTTTCTTCCATGCAATACCCTAACCCAACCCAAGGGACATCTTCCATTTATGATTTACAAGGGGAAATTCCAGACCATCCTGGCCACACGTGGGATGACCCTGCACAGAGGAATCACAGGCTTTCCAGCCTAAAAGGAATCAGTGGGCTGGTTTGACTTTTGTTTCAAAATCCCTTATGGAGAATTTTGTTTTGTATTCATGTGTATCAATTCCTATAGCAGTACTTCTGTTAGGTAAACTGTTTTCTCAAAGTAGAGTTTAATTACAAATCCTCTGTGCTTTTGTGATTGAGAAATGAAAAAATACCAAATTTAAAACACAATGGGCTAATGAAATAAGACACTGTTAAAGAGGGATCTGGTGGGTAGAAAATTATATGAAGAAATTACTCACAAGCAGCAGAGAGATAGGATAGAAAATAGAAAGGGAAGTTAAATGAGAAAGTCAAACACCTCATTACAGTTCCAGAGGGAGAGCAGACAGACATTATCAAAGAGAAAAGACTAAGAACCTGCTCTCAGTTACATTGTTGAGGAATCATGGACACACTAAAAAAAAATTCTTGAAAGCAACCAAAGAGAAAAAGGACGACGCTGACTGTTCCCCACCAGTATCGACAGAAGACAGCAGACCTTTTTTGAGAAAAAAAGGTTAACCCAGCTCTGTTATTCAAGAATTAGGGCAATTGACTTTTCTGGTAAAAAACCAAATACAGAAAAAAGTGATCCCAGAAGGAAACTGTGACCAAGAGTGCCAGCGATCTACCAATGTCCATCCTCCCTTCTTCCATAGTAATAGATCCCCTGATTTTTGCTGGGCACAGGTTAAGAAATTGGTGCCTCATGTTACAGGATGGTAAAATGTTTGGTCAGGGTTGAGGACTGCATAACTTAGGGGGTAGGGTGGGGAGTAGACCAGATTTGACCAAATCTAGGGTATTAGAAAGTGGTCGGAAATATCAAGAATGATGACTTATGTTCACACAATTTTTTGACTGCTTTAAACAAAGTCCTGTGAGAAGCAATAATTCCAGCTGACTGTAGCTGGTTTGAAAACAGAAATGGAAGGATCCAGAGTTTTGCTAACGTAGGCACATTCAGCTTCTGGCCTGCAATATACTCAGCCATACACTTCTATACAACCGAGTCAAGCAGTTTGGAATCATGCATCTGAAGAGGCACACTCTGAAGCAGGTCACTCTCTTGCTCCTTGGAAAGATGGCATGCAGGAAGGTGAGATCAAAGTAGGAGTGAAAGTTTGCCATCACAAGCTTCCCATAAATAAGAAAAAAAGCCTGGTAAAATCAGATTATGGCAATAGGGCTTTGGAATAAGAACTCCTACTGGCTGGTGGGAGAATATATTTATAGGTTTTGGCATTATTTAGTGACACAAGCATCTGTCTACCCCCTCTTGGGGGTATATACCAAAGGAACTCACACACATCTACCCTAGAATATGTAACCAAGAATTCTAATCAACAAACCTGGAAATGACCTAAAGGCCATCCACAGCCCAGCTGACAAGCTGTCCTCCATGTATATCATAGAGCTCCCAGCAGCAATGAAAGTGAACAAAGCACAGCTGCACGGAATGACCTGCATAAATCTCATAAGCAACTTTGGGCAAAAGAGGAGTTAACATAAATTATGTTAACTCATATGTGATTCCATTTGTAAAAAATTCAAAAACAGGCAAGGTAAGCTATATTCTTTAGAGCTGCATATCTTGGTGGCAAGCATTATAGAGATTAATAAAATATCTAATTTATGGGATAAAAACTAAGCAAAATAAAAGCATTAAAAAATATGAAGAGCCTAAGGGACAAGTAGAAGATAAAGTGTTCCATGAATGGGAGTGAGAGAGGTTACAGCACCAACATTAGGGCCAGAATGTCTCTCACCCCGTGGCTTGCCTTACAGTGTGACCTTCCGTGATGATCTCTCTCACCCTCACCCCTAAGTCCCCCTGCACCACACCCTCCCCCAGCCTGGCTGAACTTTATGATCCTTTGGTCAATAAGGCAGGCAAAGTGATGCTACGTGATTTCCCATGCTATGGCATAATAGCAGCCTCCTCCTCATATCTCAATCTCTTAGGACATTTGTCCTGCGAACTCAGCCATCTTTCACGGAGGACACCAAGGCTGAGAGAAGCGCACTTGGAAGAGAAACTGGCCGGGACCACGTGGGTCATCTGTATTAAAAGTGATTCATTCAGTCTTGATCCGACCATCTCAGCTGCTGCCGGGGGAGCAGGTGTAAGTCACTCCTGTCAAGTTCTGTCAAAATGGCATATTTGTGAGCAAAAGAAATGATAAAGTTGTTTTCAGCAACTTAGCTTAAGGAAAGTTTGTGACTCAATAGATGGTTGATATAATGGGAAAATTCTAGAGGTGTTTTCACTAATGTCAGAAAAAAAAGAAATGCATGTCCGCAATCACTGCTTCTTTCTAACAGTGTAATGAGCTTATTGGGAGATGCTATTAGGTAAGAATCTTTATATACAGACTATGTAGCTAACTGTTTCTCATAGGATTTAAAATAAGCATCTCTCCACATTATAGCTTTAGTAAATACAGTGTCCAGCTGTTATAGAAATTAGTTCCATAATAAGCGATTAAGTGATCTATAGAATAGCTTAAATATATTTTCCTCTGTTAATATTTTATAAAATTTTAACTTAAAAATTTTTCTACTTTTATAAGCATAGTTGTCATGAACAATCCTGGGGTTATATAGATCAAATGGCAGGGATATTTTAAGGATTTAAAATAAAATCATCACATTTTTCCAAATTGCATTTTTAAGTAGCAACAAAGGAGCCCCCAGCTTTCAATTCATCGTCATCCATAATAATTATGAAGCTTTGTTAACATGATTAGTGAAAAATTGCATTTCAGTGCAGTGTTGTTTCTTTGCATTTCAATTAGGTAAATTGAACTTGCTGACCTGTTTCATTTGAATATGCAGGAGGAGGTTGCAAGGCTGAACCCTTCTGAAAGCATTCTCCCAGTGTCCTAGGAAGTGTCTTCAGGTCCTTTCTGCCAGCAATAATCTATGTAAGAGAAGATCAAACAAAAAAGTTACTGCCTGCCATGTTTGTTGCAAAAGCAGAGAGAAAAACTCCTACACATCATAATTTTACTATTTAATGTTTGCTAAAAGCCAGGGGTCCTGCACTGAAGCTAGAACACGGGACCCAACAAAGAACTAGAAACTTCTCCCATTCTCCAGGAACTTATTCTGTAATTTGGAGAGAAGCCAAATAGAAAGGCATTTATCATGTCAAGGGACCAAAGGGAAGAGATCTTTAATCTGTTTTTCCCTACAAAACCGATAGATTTATGAGTTAAAGCTTTAAAAACTTGAGAAAAACCTTATGGATTTAAAATAAAATCATATATTTCAAATAATGTGTATGTCCACAGAGACATCTAAATTAAAATGGGCAAAAAAAAAAGAGTTCATGGCTCTAATACATGTAAATCCACAAACTCAAGCAGGTCGCTGTCAGTCACACTGTCCACCACAAGGGGGCAGACGCGCACTTGGCGAGAATGCTTCCCCGCTGGTACTTTTCCAAACCTTGGTGAAGGTTGGGGCCAACCTGGCTTCTTGTGCCTTCACCACTGAGATCTGGTGCTCAGGACCCAAAACAAGACCCAGGGCACGTAAAGCATGATTTCTCACCTATTAATCTTTCATATGGGGTCCAGCCGGAGACAGGTGAAAGGCTCGGGAAGAATGTATCCTCACTCCCTTTTGTGATGAGAACACAAACAATGGAAACTGACTTGAGGAATGACAGCAAGTTCTTCTTCTATGCATTCTGAGCTCACCCCAAAGGAAGCTTCCAATGAGGGGTCCTAGTCATGTTTTTTTTTTTGAAGATTTATTATTTATACAAGCACTGGGTACAGTCAGAAGCACGAGAATTCACCAGAGCCAGAGCAGAGAGCAGGCAGAAGGACCGAAGTACACTGCTGAGGGGAGCAACGGGCGGCAGGAGAGGTCTGTGCGCCATGTAGGACCCTCCTCCGGTGGCCGGGGAGCAGCCGGGGATCGAACCAGCGCTGCAGAGGCTGCGGGCAGCTTTGCAACCCAGTGCTCAACCGCTGCGCCACCGGGGAGGCCCCTAATCATGTTTTGAGCAATGGCAACATAGCTATAATCCACACAGAACTTCTCAAGGTCATTACCTAGAGGGCAAGACTCCTGTGCAGGTCCAGTCTCCCGTGTCAAGTTGTCAGGAAACTCCCGTTTCCTAAAACTTTGTTTACAGAATGGATGTGCTTCTGGCTGGATTCTTATCAGGCAATCTCTGGGGATAACTGCTAAAAACTGGAGAAATATAAAAATTACTGGAAGGTACTGCAGAGAAAACAAAAAGTTTTTGTGCAGGAGGTGGGAAGAGAGTTGATCCCTGTAGATAAACTCAGGAGATGAGTTTCCCATTTTTTGCAGCTTTTATTCTTTGGCAAACCTCAGTCCATCCAAGTAGGACAGCTAATACGTGGACAGTATCTGAAAGACTATTTTTTTTTTAAAGATTTATTTATTCATGCATATAAGAACTGGGGTACAGGCCAGATGTGCGGGAGGGTGAGAGGATTCACCAGAGACAGAGCGGGGAACACAACAGGCAGACTGACTGAAATACACTGCTGAGGGGAGCAGCGGGCAGCAGGAGAGGTCTGCATGCCATGTGGGCTTCTCACCGGATGGCCGGGATCAAACCCGTGCTGTAGAGGCTATGGACAGCTTCACAGAGCTGCGCTCAACTGCCTGCACCACCAGGGGAGGCCCTGAAAGGCTTCTAACTTAAAGAACCTGTACTAAGTTTGAGGTGATTTAATTAAAATCACCTGCAAACCCCACTGGCGCTCATTGGCAATCACCTCATACAAAGAAACAAAAACGCCCTCACATTCATGATGGCGGCAGCATGAACCTGAAGATTGTTCTATGACCGAGGACAGCTTATGAAATGAGCCACCACTCGTCCACACAGTAGGTGTGCAATGAAGAAATGGTGCTAACGCGCTCACAGGTCAGATTTCACACCCCCCAATTCCTCTTTTAGTCTTTCTCTGAGCTTGGTATTGTCTAATAAGGAGGGAAGGGAGCCTGTCCATGATGATAATTCATCATGAGCAGAGAACTTTCAAATGTGAAAGAAATCTTAAGATCAAGTTGTTGCTAGAAAAAAAGAGCAAGGAAAAAGCACTTGAAGGAATAGATAGTAAAGTCTCTTCCTTTCATTCAGAAACAGAACTGGGACTAGAAGGCCGAGGCATTTAACCTAGGGCCTCCTGACGGGGGGCTGACAGGCATCCTCAGTCCTGGCCACCATCACCACCAGGCCTTCATGGCTATGTTCTTGCCATTTGTTTCAACGGTGTGGGTTTAATAAGCTGCTGCGTCCCACCTCCGTGGCGGTGAGGGAGAAGTCCAACAGTGTCTGTCAAGGTCTTTGTCAGAAAATCTGTCGGTTTTTTGGATGCCTACTGGTATTTTGAGAAACCCTACTCAGGAGCTGGACTTAGGGGGTGGGTCAAGCCACGTCAGGACCCTCACAGCCTCCCATTGTCCCTCTGTTCCCAGTCGCTGAGGTCAGCCTTGGCCTGCTTGTTCCAGCCGGAAGCACTCAGCCTGTGGCGAGAGTCTGGCTGGGTAGCTATTTCTTTTGGGCCCTGGCCCCTAACCAATACTGGGAAGGGAGGGGCCTGTGAAGGGAAAAACAGTGATCCTGGGCTGAGGTCACTCTTCCTAGGGGCTCACTTTCTGAAGGGGAGGTGAGAGATTTTATCCTCTCTAGGGCATATCTTGGGATTTTTCTTAGAAAAGTGAGCTCAGAGCCCCACAGAGGCAATTATGGTATAAGCGACCTTCCCCTAGTTAACTCTGGAATGCAAACTCAAGTGGGGAGATCACTCGCTGAGGCCTCACCTTAATTTCTCCATTAGCTTCATTTTAGTTTTCAGAAGTTCCTTGCATGAGAAGGTCAATCAGAGGAGGCGGGCGCTGCCGGCCAGCCCTGGGGCGGCTGAAAGCAGGGCGCTTACGGAGGGGAGCACATGGACTGATGACCCATGTCTTCCAGATTTCCTAGGGCTGCCTTCTTAGGCCCACATCTGATGGCCCAAGTAACGATACTGCACCAATGGTGGAGGAAGAAGAGCAGTTAAAACACATCACATGGGCCAGAGGGATTAGTCAAGTTGAAGATTCTCACCCTGCCTGCCCAAAGATTCCTGGCATTTCCCAGAACTCAGTGTTTATTATAAAGTATTCTCCAGGTGACTCTTATATAGGGGGATCCATGTCAAATATTTGGGGAGAGTCTTCTTTAGAAACCCTAGTGGAGCCCCACCAGGCTTGGCATCCAGAATGACAGTGTGGAGACAGAAGGAAGAGGGTGGAAGCAGGGAGGGAAGATGGGGTCCTCTGAAGGGTTGTGAGGACTGTAAGTCACCTGTTAGTCTATAACAAATCAACAGCACTGATTTAATTCAAGGTTCACTGGGCAGTTCTGGTCCTGGCCAGGCTAGCTACCCAGGCTGGGCGTACTCACATGTCTGAGGACGGGTGGCAGATGGGCTGGGAGGAGGAAGAGAACGCCCGATGGCTTTCTGTCACTTGGGTCTTTGGGGGGCTGGGTCACGTCGTCAGAACAGTCAGGGCTGCTCTTAGGGAAGCAGGTTTCCAGGAGCTGCAGGCACTTCTCAGATTTGCTTTCTCACCTTTGCTATTGTCCCATTGGCCAGAGTGCTAGTGTACTCTTAGGGTGCGGGGGCACCCCCAAAATGTTGATGCAGGAAGACATGAACAAACATAGGGAGCACAACTGACCCCAAGGATGAATAAGAAGAGAAGTAGTCATAAAACAAAAAAATAAAAAGGGGCTTCCTGGGACTGGGTAGAGCTGGTGATGAGGCCCCAGCTCCCCTGGTGGGAGTGGAGAAAGCAGAGCTGTCAGAACCTAAAGTCAGAGAAGTCCTCCATACCCTCTAAAACTGGAGCCTGTGCTCAAACAGGTCAGGAAATAGCCACCATAAGACTGGAAACTGCGTCCAGTCGGGTACCCCACGCTTCTCCCACACCTGTCGTGGCGCAGCATGGGGGACCTTCTGGCTCTGAGCAGCAGCAGCCCTGGACTTAGGGGTGAGCTGAGCCCCGCAAAGGCTGGACTCTCCCGAGGACAGATCAGGGGCCTCCATCTCCAGAGACCAGATCTGTATGTCATGGCAGAAGTGGCCTACACTGCCCCCCAGCCCCGCGATCTGTGTGGGGGCCAAGGCAGGGGTTTGTTCTGGGGCATCCTGGCTCATGAGCTCTAAACCTTCTAACCCTGCGGCCGGGGAGATTTATGGTTGGATTCTTCCTCACTCCGGGTCACAGTTGCTGGTGGGTGAGTGTCTCCAGGCACTTATTCCTTGGCCCCCACCTCTGGCCCTGCTCCTCTTGGATCACTCGCTCTCAGCAGCCTTTCTCAGCACTTGTTGCAACTGTCTGTGTCCACCATGGACCCCAGTCAACTGCCAACAGCCCCAGTCAACTGCCAACGGCTTCAGTCAACTGCCAACAGCCCCTAGTCAACTGCCAACAGCCCCCAGTCAACTCCCAACGGCTCCCAGTCAGATCCCAATGGCGGCAACATACTGTCAACACACCCCAGTCAACTCCCAGCAGCCCCCAGCTGGCCCCCAGAGCCACGAAAGTCTCTGGATTCAGTCTTAACCCTTGTGGGATGGGCCTGGGCCTGGGATGGCTCCCTAAAAGAAGTGGTGTTTAAGATGGCCAGAAGGATGAGTAGGAACTGACATGTGAAGGGGTTCTGCAGGATGTCATAGGCTGAGGATAAGGAAGGAGCCATGTCCTGGACAGGTGCCTAAGAGGGCCCTAACTTTGGGAGCCTCTTAGCTCTTATAGGCGGGGCTGGAGCTTAGCACAGGGAAGAGTAGAAAGATATTGCTGGTGAGGAAGCAGAGGTGAAAGCATTAGGCCATGCTCTGAAGAAGAGGGTTGAGGGGCGCCACACACATGTGATCTAGAAGGCAGCACTGGGGGTGGTGGGGACAGCGTACAAAGGTCTCAGGAAAATCTTGGGAAAGGAGCCAGTCAGGAGATGATGTGGGTGGGAGGGAAGATGATGTGGACTAGGGGGTGGAGAATTGTAGACTTGTGTTTTGTTTTTGTTTTAGCTGTAAACAAGGATAACAAAAGTCACTGACTGGGTGGTGGGGGCAGGGCTGTGAAGTCTGGGCCAGGGATGGGGATGAAGGTGGCTGTGTTTGGTGACTGGTTGGTGTGGTGCCCCTGCCCTTAGTCAAGATGGGGAAGGAGGGGTGAGCTGAGGGGATAGTGGGCAGGGAGGTGCCAAGTTCAGATTGGGAGAGACTCAGTTTGTAAACAGACACCTGGGCCCATCTAGATCCGCAGGGAAGGGCTCCGTGTTGGACCTTGGAATCAGAGAGAGGTGGGTGGGCTCATCAGCATATGGGTGGAGCCATGGGGCTGGGCTGGGTGAGATGAGAGAAGGCCCCAGGCCAGGGCCAGGTGGAGGGAGAGAAGCTCCTCAGGAGCTGAAGGGAGCCAGGCTAGAGAAGATGAAGAAAATCTGAGCAGGCCTTAATAGTTGATAAAAAAGATTTAGCGATGAATTTGCAGTAAACATTGGCAGCACTCACGGAAACTGATGTAATTCTTCTTCAACATCTACCAGGACGAAGTGGACACATAAAGCAGATGTGTGTGTGCGGGGGTGCATTGTGCAGAATTTAAAGTCACCTGACTAGAAGCCTGTTTGCTGCTAATTATCACCATGCAATGGAAAATCTAAACAAAGTTTTTGATAAAACCCCTACTACAGCAGCCAGCTGCCACACACGCCCCCAGGTTGCCATGGCACCAGGTGCTAGAATTATTGCAGAATTGTTTAGGGCAGTGGACCTGGGCCATCCTGATGGCCGTCCATGGGGGGAAAGCAAAAATGAAAACTGATCCACACCTACAATGAAGGATTTCACATCCCTATAGGTAGGAAGAAAGCCTAAAGACATTGCTCAAAAGGCAAAAAGTGCGTGACTATATTCATATCGACATCTGCTATGAAAAAGACAGTGCCCCGTGTAAAGGAATATGTGTGCACAGTTAAAGGCATCATGGAAGGCCTGGAACCTACGCCCCAGGAGCAGTTACTGTTCAGAGGCTCTTGAGGCCTCTGGGTTGGGGAGCGATACTAAAGAGGACTTGAACTTTATGACTAAAAAAAGAGGCAAATGTAAAATTTCTGGTGGAATGAATAGTGACAGCTGATGAAAAAAAAGCCTAAAAAGCCTCTTAATCCATTGTTTAGAAAGGAAATGATGCAGGATCCCCCCTGTGTGTCCCCTTTACCTTGGCCTAAATGTGGGGACTCAGGTGAGGCAGGATCATGGGCACCCCTCACTGACCGATAATCCCACCTGCACATAAACTCTCCACTGCCTTCCAGGCCTTCCCCTGCTATTTCTGGGGGCCCTAAGTAGGGAGGGCCCCATGTGTCACTTGGGAACTGCTGCTTGGGGCCTGGCTCCACTCCTGGGAGGGTGGAGGGTTTCTACTTCACCCTAAAGCCTGGGTCAGCAGCAGAGGCGCGACTAGGAATTGCACCCTTTGGGGGTGCTGCCAGCTTGCCCTCCTTTGTTTTGGTTTGATAGGAATCACTGCCCCCTCTTGGCCCAGCTAGCCCACCCCTGCTCCAGCCCCCAGATGGTCAGGCTCTCAGGCAGGCTGAGGGAGGGCTCCCAGGGAGGTGGGAGTTTTGGGTCCTTTCTGCTCTATTTGATTTTACTTGGCATTTAAAGAGGTATTATGTTTTCTTCCTGGCAACGATTTGCTGACAAGTCCATTTGTACTCTATGGAATTTAAATTGAATCAATACATCGGCAATAGTACCCTCTCCAGGGCTGCCCTACAGAGGCACGTGCAGCCCCTCCAAGATAGGCCCGCCGCTGACCCTGCAAAGCACTGAGTTTTGTGCTCTCAATACCCACTCATGGCCCCCTCCCCAAAACAGGAAAAGAGGAGCCAGTACCTTGATTACAAACTGACCTCCCTGCTGCCCTCCGCAACCAGGTCAGCCTCCCCTGCTCGTCCTCCCTGCCCATTTCTCTAGCTGCTCTCTGAGAACAAAGCCGGAAGCCCCGTCTGGAGGCTGGATTGCTCCACTCTGGCAAAGGCATGTCCCCTCTTGTCATCTGCTCACTTACAGGCCTGGGGGAGTGGGGTGTGTGTGTGTGTGTGTGTACTAGTGAGGCTAGTATGTACAGCAGAAACAGGGAGAGAGGGCCTCCCATTAGCCTTGGGAGAATGTTCCAGATGTGGACATGGCAGGAACCCAGGTGGGGACCTCGTGGGAATGGATGAGAAAGAGATGCTGCGCCCCCCCCTACTCCCAAGACCCCAGCTCATGGTGCTGTCCCAAGGGCTCCTGTGGAGGGGCCTGTGGGGCCCTACAGTGGCTTCAGAAAGGTTTCACAGGGAACAGAGGCCCCTCCCACCACTACTGGGCACCATGGGAACTGAGATTTGTTTTCTTCTGTTACATCTATTCTTCAGCTTTAGTCTGAGAGGTAGAGTGGGAGCGGAGGGCAGAGAAGAAGCATTTCACTTAAGAGGATGTGGTAAGGGGGGCTTGATAAGATAGAGCCCCACATGTTAGGTAGGAAGGGGGGAGTCTGGAGAGATTGGGGGCACTGACTTCCTCTCCTGCCCTTTATTCTGATACCTGGAGCTACTGGGAACTCTGAGGAGAAGGCCAAGCCAAAGGCCTTCCAAGTCTACAGTGCTTGGGGCTGGGAAGGTCACTCTTGGGTCACCACAGCTGGCCAAGGCCTGGTGATTTCTCTCTACCTCTTGCTCTGCCACAAGCCTCTTTGTGAGCCCCCCCACCTCACTTCTTTCCCTCTCCCCGCTTCCCTGAAAGCTCCTGTTTTCCGTAGGCTTTCTAGCTTGTTCCCATCCCACCTAAGCATGGCTCCCTCTGGTCCTGACGAGGAAGTAAACATGTATGCTTCAACCATATCAGAACTGGATTGTCTCAAAAGAGCACATTATCAGGGCAGCATGTGAAGTAAAGGAAGTTCTGGAAAACCTCACATATCTTAACCATCCCCAGGGAGCTTGTTTTCCTAAGAGCCCTGAACCCTGGCCCCTGCAGACACTCTGCCCAGGGTGCAGCTGTGAGAGGCCGGTGGGTGCTGCAGGGCCTGAGGGGAAGCGTGGAGGACTGCTCAGAGTGGGGTTGAGGGGCACCCTTTTCACAAGAAGAGGCTCTGAGTAGTGTGGGGAAGCTCCAGTGGTGGCAGGGAGTCCTGACAATGACGGTGACTCTCAGCTCCAGCTCTCCAGCTTGGTCAGGCCAGCCACCTGGGTGGAAGGAAGGGAGCTTCTGGAGCACTTGTGGGAGTGTGGGGGGAGGTACAGGGGTCTGTCCAGCGAGAGGGCCACCTGCGTGAAAAGGGGCTACTCCAGCACCCCACGATGTGGGCTCTGACTCCTGGTGGGGAGAGCAGGGGCGTGGGGGATGGCGTGAAGTGCTTTAGCTCACTCCACACAGAGAAGGCATGCAAGGGCGCTCCCCTGCAGCTAATGGATCATTGGGATTCTAGCTGCGCAGAAAGAGAGGAAACATGCAGATTCCAGTGCTCTTCTGTCTATCTCTGTTTGGATTTCTAAAATAATACCATGGGACTTGTTCTCTAATTTTCCCTTGTCCTGAGCTCTCAGAACCCCAGCTCTCAGAATATCTTCTCTGACTTTATCCTTTTACCCTTTAGTTTGTCCCTTTGATAAGTTTTTCTGTTTTGTTTTTAAAGAAAACAACTTTGAAGTATAATTTACACACTATACACTTTATCCATTTAGATACACAATGCAGCGGTTTGTAGGAAACTCAAGGAGTTGGGCAACCATTTCCACAATCAATTCCCCAAAGAAACCCCATGTCCATGGACAGTCAATCCCTATCTCCTTCCCCCACGCATTCCCCTCCCAACCCTCAACAAGCACCTATCTACTTTGTTTCTCTAGATCTGCCTGTTCTGGACATTTCATATAAATGGAATCATACAACATATAGTTGTTTGTGTCTGGTTTCTTCCACATGTTTTCAAGGTTCATCCATGTTATAGTATGTATCAGTACTTTTTCTCGCTGAATAATATTCCACTCTATAAATATACCACACTTTGAAAATCTGTTCATCACTTGATGGACACTTAGGTTGCTTTCTCTTTTTGGCTGTTATGACTATTGTGAACATTCATGTGCAAGTGTTTGTATGGACATATGTTTTCATTTCTCTTGGGCATATGCCTAGAAATGGAATTGCTGGATTATTTAGAAACAGTTTAACACCTGGAGGGCCACAAGACTGACTTCCAAAGTGGCTTCCACCAGCAGTGTATGAGACTTCCAATCTATCCACATCTTCACTGACATTTGTTATCGTTTGTCTTTTTAATTTTAGAATCTCATGCATTTCTTCGATAATTATGGGCTTAATTTCTATTCAGACCCTTTGCCCATTTTTTAAATTGAGATGGTTTGTTTTTGAGCTTTTTATTAATGAAATCATAGCATTATCTTCTTGTGTGAGTTGCTTCTTTCCCCTCTTGTGGTGCATGCACTTTTTATCCCTGCTTGCCACATTCCCGTAGAGTCGTCATGACGTCAATGCTATCCTTAGTCTGCTTGTGCTGCTGTAGCAAACTAGCACAGACTAGGTAACTTGCGAACAGCAGCAGTGTAGTGCTCACAGTTCTGGAGGCTGGAAGTCAGAGATCGGGGTGCCACCATGGTCAAGTGAGGGTTCTCTTCACTTGTGGTGGAAAAGGCTAGGGGACTTTCTGAGGTTTCTTTTATAACAGTACTAATCCCCTTCAGGAGGGCTTCACCTTCATGATCTACTCAACCCCAAAGGCCCCCACCTACAAATTAATGCCTAACCCTTTGAGGGTTAGGATTTCAACATATGAATTTGGTGGGGGACACACATTCAGACCACAACAAGTATAGTGGCCATTTGGGTTGTTTTTATGTTCTGGAAATTACCAACAGTGCGCTTTGAACATATTTAGTAGCCCTTGTTGTACAGAACTTTGAGCTCTTAATTTCACCTGATGATGTTAAACAGTTTCACATCATATAAAAACATGAAAATACAGCCATAACCCTTCCCACTTTCTGTTGAAAACGCTCTCTTCACTGCTTGGAACTGCTGCCTCTCAAAAATCTAGGCTCTGTCAAGGGTGGGGGTATAGAGGTCCAGGCCTTTCTAACCACCCCCTATCCGCTATAAGCTTGTCCCTGGGCCAGTGTTATATTCTCCTAATATACTAAAGTTTTATACATTATCATGACACCTGGTAGGGAAGATTCTTGTTTATGGATTTTGCATTGTGTGTGTGGGTATTTGTCAAAGCCGTTGACTAGAACAAGGGAAGGGGGATGGGTGAATGGGGATTCCTAGGCTCCATTGTCCCCAGATACAGTCATAGCTGTAACTGGAGGGGCACTTGATGCACTATTGACCAGAGGAATGGTACAAAAATAAGGTACAAAGTCTTGGGGTGAAAATCCTTTGTCCCTCCTTCTAATGGTCTTTCCTTATTTAGTCTCCCAGAAACCACAAGACTCCCCTGATAGTTCCTGCCACTCTATGACAAGTCCCTCCTTCTTTAGCCCAGTATCAGGGAGCTGAGAGAATCTGAAAGAATGTCAGCTGACATCTGAAAGAATAATCACTAAAATAGAAAGATTTTGGGTCTTGGATCAAACTGGTGAGTAGGCCAGCTGTTGTAGCAGCAAGCCAGTGGTTGGAAGGTACCAGAAGATGGTATTATTACAATGCAGCAGGGTGCAATAAGCTGGGGTTAGTGTGAGATGATACAATATATAGGAAAAGCATAGAAAAGAAACCATAAAAATATGTCCTGAGATCTTCACAATATGAATGTTTTGCATTAAGAGAGCATTGGACCTGACCATTAAA